TTTCTAAGACTTCACTGAGAAACCTGGTGCAGGAAATCCCTCTGATGCTCTCCCTTTTTAATCTATTAACTTTTAATTTTCTCCTCATCTGATAGGCAGATTTCAAATCCATAAACTTCAACTCAAAATAATCCAATCAAACAAGGACTTCACTCGGTTCTTAATGAGTTTAGTTAGAGCCAAAACACTTTGCATTACTTTTTATAGTCCATCTGATTTATGCTCTAACATGTTCTATCTTTATGGGTTTTTGAGGAAAAACATCTCACTCGAATTCTTTTCTGCTTCAGTGCAACATTTGTCAGCCCCCTTTGATTCATCATTTATTCATTCCTAAATGCAAGGGTGTGACTTGTTGTCTTGCAGGGTGGTAATATGCACAAAAGGTTAGACCGGGTTTGTTTTGGACACCAAATGTGCAGAAATATGACGAATGGTCGCAGGTGTTGTGGTATCCACTGCTAGGAAATGTAAGCATTTTAAGTAATCCTTGTTTTTTAATGTAAATGAGTCAGTTGTTTAACAGCCTCTCTGTGGAGCTCTACTCCCAGCACAGTGGCTTCAAAGGAACAGTGTCTCATCCTTGTCCCTGTATGGAAAAACACTGTGTGAATTTGCAGATACAAAAAACAAAAAAAACATGACAGTGAAGAATACCCTCCCCTTCAACATCCTTCCCTTGTTTGTTTGTATCTGGGAAATCTCTGGAAATAGTCCACATCGGAGGTTGTTGATATGTGTTTGGGTGTGACGTTGGGTACTCACTCGCCTTATGGTAAACAGCAAATCCTACGAGGAGACAGCGAAGGGCCTGTGGCATGTGGTCAGACACGCCCAGTTACCGGTAACCAGAGGGTCCCATAGGAAGGCTGGTGCGTGGCGTCCTCCAGTCGTGACCAGGATGATTAAAAGGTCCTTCCTTTTCCGCTCAGAGGGGCATTGTGCCGGTGCACAGACAGGCTGCCGACACCTTGTCCCTGGAAGGAAGTGAGTGTTTCACGATCCAAAGAGGACAAGACTGGCAGAAGGATGCATGAGTATTTCAATATAAACAAATCATTTCATTAAAGTTTGCAAGCTCAGATTTCATTTCCGTTGAAATTATTCCCATTTAGAATAGAATAGCCTTTATTGTCATTGTACAGAGTACAACGAAATTGGAGTGCCACTCCCTTGGTGCAAGTTTCAATAATAAATATAAATGTAAAATATAAAAAGTACAAAAAAAACAATCGTAAGTACTCAAACAATAGTATGTACAATATATACAGGATAGCAGCATTAATATAATGACAGTATGAATAGCAGCATTAATATAATGACAGTGACGGTATGGAATAGGTTCAGTTGTTTTTGTGCTTATTTACTACGGTGATAGCTCTGGGAAAGAAGCTATCCCTGAATCTGTTTGTCCTGGTTTTATGTGACCTGTACCGTCGGCCTGACGGTAATAGTTCAAACAGTTGGTTGCTGGGGTGAGAGTGGTCCTTGATGATATTGCCAGCTCTGCTGAGGTACCGAGAGTTTGCAGTGACCTCCAGGCTGGGCAGAGAGCAGCCAGTGATCTTCTGGGCTGTGTTGATGACCCTCTGAAGTACTTTCCTGTCTGCAGCTGAGCACCCTGCATACCATGTTGTTATGCCGTACGTTAGGATGCTCTCTATGGTGGCTCTGTAAAATGTCACCAGCAGCCTCTCCTCCAGGTTGTTCCTCCTGAGCACTCTCAGAAAGTGGAGACGCTGCTGGGCCTTTTTAACCACCACTGTAGTATTTGCAGTCCAGGAGAGGTCATCAGATATCTGCACGCCCAGAAACCTCATGGAGTGTACCCTCTCCACACAGCTCCCGTGAATGTAAAGTGGGGCCGGGTCTGCTCTGCCCTTCCTGAAGTCCAAGATAAGTTCTTTAGTTTTCGTGGTGTTCAGTTGGAGGTTGTTAACTGAACACCACTCAGTCAGTCTGTTGACCTCATCTCTGTAGTCCGACTCATCCCCCCTTGAGATGAGTCCAACCACTGTGGTGTCATCCGCGAACTTTATGATGGTGTTTGAGAGATGGGTAGGGGAGCAGTCGGATGTGTAGAGCGTAAACAGGAGGGGACTCAAAACACATCCTTGTGGAGACCCGGTGCTGAGTGTGATGGTGCTGGACCGGTGGGGGCCGAGTCTGACAGACTGTGGTCTATTTGTCAGGAAGTCCTTGATCCAGAGGCAGATGGGGGTGGAGAGTCCCAGGTGAGACAGTTTCTGGACCAGGATCTCCGGGATGATATGATTGAATGCTGAGCTGAAGTCCAGAAAGAGCATTCTCACATTTGTTGAGTAAATACGCAGGGTAAGGACTAACAATGACATCAAGTGTTCCCAGTGCAGAGACTGGGAACCGCCCAAGCAGTAAGTAGATAAATCTGAATCAAAGGGGTCATTCATCAAGATAAAGACTTATTTCTCCTACACGTTCTGTGCTTTCTGTTTTTAGTTTTCCTGTGAATTACTAAAATAACTTTGCTCCTAAAATTTATATAAACAGTGTGAAACAACAAAATCACTCCTTGCTGTTAGCATCAGTAGCAAGGGTACAGGTAGGCTTTTTGCTGCTTTTCTCACATTGAAATCAGAATCAGAATCCTTTATTAATCCCAAAGGAAATTATGGGTTACAGCAGGCAGCACACCAATTGTGCATGCACACTTACAAAGGAACCTTCTGACCAAACTTTACACAAACATCACATTGGAAAGACATGTCAGAGAGGTAGGCTGATAGGAAAAGACAACGAAAATACATAACATGAGGTGAGAGGAGGAGGAAAAAAACTCCACTCAGACTGAGCTCCTAGTGGGAGAACAGTTTGAGAACAGAAAAAAAAACCCAGCACAAAAAGCACATGACTGTCAATACACCGTAGAAACACAAGACAAGCAACAGGGGCGGGTAAAGGGTAAGAGAGAGCCGGTGTAGACAGCGCATCCAGTCCTGCAGCATGTCTGCGCTGGTCCAGTCGACCCGCCATCTGCCCCGTGTGTGTATGTGTGTCCAGAGTTCAGCTGAGACTGTGTCCTTCGGCCTGCCAGGCTAAGTAAACAGACTGTTTTTGTAATTTTTAGGTTATTTTCAGTAAAATGACAACATAATCAGTATCCTAAGTCCTATTCTGGACCTTAGCGGGATCAGGACCCTGCAACACCAGACAGAAAATGTTCCATCCAAGGCAGAAGGGAAAGAAAAGCTGTGCCACCAACAATCCACTTTGGAGATCCCTTCCCAGGCTCCCTAAGGCCCACTCGCATCATGAGTCATTTCACATGATAGGGTGATGCAATGATCTGGAGAGAAGAGTCACTAGACACAAAACAGAATACATGTGTGTGAATGAAAGGGAGGCATAGTGAAGTGTGATAGTGAAGCTGCAAGTAGCAGAGGTAGAGGATTAGACATGAGTATATAAGTGTGATAGCTCAGACAAAGATAGAGACGCAAGACTGAGACAGTTTGGACATGTGCAGAGGAGGGATTCATAATTCATTTTTCCACATATTTCAAGCAAATATGAACCAAGCCTCAAGTAATGTATAAATATATAGATCTTTATTTATTCACTTCATACACTCAGTTAACAGTGTTGGGGAACATAATTTTCTAAAACACTACAACTTGTTACGCTACAACACAGAAGCAGCTTGGAAGGAGCTTTGAGCTGCTGCAAGCATTAGTCATGATTTTTCCAAAGACATTAGATAAAATACAACATTTACCCAAACTGATCAGATATTGAGATAATTAATACTGTTAAAGTAGAGGCTAAGCTTGACATAGATAGCTATTTCCATAATCAACGGCAATGATGATGTTAGACTGGCATGAAATAATGCAACAAATAACAGAAGTGTTAATTCATACTTAAACAAAAAACAAACAAAAAAGAAAAAAATAATTTTAAACATGTGTTTCTCAACATATGTTCCTAATAATACACCTTTAAAAATACAAAACCATATACTTGATATAAAGCATCAGTGCATAATAACTTCCTCTCCTCTTACACAAACAAAACAGCATCAGGAAAGGATCAAAATATTCACTTTAGTTTACTCGCTGACAAACACTGTTTCTGCAGTGGTTAATGGGCATGAGCTAGCTGGATTTCCACTGGGGGTGTGTGCTGTATCACAACATAAAAATAAGCTCAATGTGCTTTTAAACATTGGTGATGTTACGCACTGAGCTGACCTCTCTCTCACACACATAGAGTTTTGATAGCCCGCACCACAAGCTTTACTACAACAAGATGCAGAAGCAGGTTCCCTCAGCGTTATTATCAGTGAACACAGTAGCACAAACAGCATATAATGTCTGGAATTCAACACCAGGATATTGCATGGTGATATCAGGAAGACTGAGCTGGAAAATTCTTTGGTTAACTTAAAATATGAATGTATATAAACAACAGAGCTGGATTACTAAGTGACAGTGTCTTCAGTCTATAAATACTCTATTAGTTTAACTAGTGGTCTCTTGAATAAACTGTTCCTATGATGTTTCTAACTATGTCTGTACAGAAGAAAAATACGCTTTTTTTTGTTTTTAGCTGGACTAACTTCAAATGAAAAATCATTTCTTTAATACCTGGGTGGAAAAGAAGGTAACTTTAATGGCTCCATAGTCTGACTGTCAAATCTGAAGCTGTCTGTTCTTACTCTCAGCTCTACCCTGTTTCCCCCATTAACCTGTGATTTTCTGAAACCCAAGAGAGATCCAGAGTACCCTTCTTCTCTATCACTCTTGGTCAACCTGAGTTAGTTGAGCTGAATATTTGATGAGATCACAGGAGCCATGACCTCAAAAGAGACTGTTCATAATTAATGCGCTCCACTCTCTGCTTTTTGTTTTGAGCAAAAACGAAATTCGTATGAGACAACGGAGCCGGATTACAAAAACAGTTTCACAAATTACAGTTTTTATTTTTTCCAATAAAGTTAACCTATATATATATATATATATATATAATATATATATATATATATGTATATTTTTTTTTTAAAAGGTTTTTGGTCTGAATTTGAAAGGTCTAAGGAATCCTCTCTCTTTTCTTTTAAGGCTTTTTCATCTCTAAACGCTGTAGCTTGTTCATAGTGAAATCATTGCGGTTTGTTTCACAGTAGATCAAAGAAATACCTGAGCCTGTTTTTAGCTGTTTGCCATATTACAGTGAACGTGGACCGGACCAGCAGCTTTAATGTTGCCTTCAAACTGGAGAGAAGTCACCAGTTAACAGCCTTCCTTGAAGTAGGAAGAAAAAAAAATCACGGTCAAGCTGATTCATGAGCGTCCTTTCGTATTTCACACTCAAGTGTTGCTAGAGAAACGATCCGGAGATAAGAGTCAAAACAGAGGAGGGCAAAGCCAAAGGCCTTGAGGTTGTCACTCTCAGATTCTCCAGGGACAAAACGGGAGGTTACACAGGAGGGGTGGAGTAGCGCACCACGGTGTTATAGTCAGGCGGCGGGCTGTGACACTCGAGGCTGGTGTCTAGAGACGAGTCGTCCAGACTGAAGTCCAGAGGGGGGACGATGGGCTGGTATTTCTCCTTCTCTGCGTCACACAGCATGGACTCTTTACTCTTACTCGCTGCCTTCATCCTGAAGCCACACAGAGATATACCTCGTTAGTTACACATACTTATTGTCATAAGCTTACACCTCTAAATATGTTTTTCAACTCAAAGTTACTGATTAAATTTAAACCTCTACGATTGGGCGTGGTTCTTCTTATCTGTGTTCATACATGAATGAAAAAAAATGAACGTGGCCGGAAAAGTTTGCCCCAAAAAACCGGATGTTTTTTTCACTTGTTTGTATTTGTTTACTCGTGTACATCTATCTATACAGTTTTGTGCCTTACATCTCCATGGTAGCTTTTACTTTGTGCAGTGCACTGTACTAAAATGTGCTATAAGAATAAAGCTTTTCTTGCTTGCATGTATTCTTAACAGCATCTTCTCTTCGCTGTTGGCGAGGACCGCTCCTTAAAACCGCATTTTTAACCACGATATGAGTTTTAATCAACTATTTAAGAAATCAGATTTTCCGTACATTTCCTATTACTACGGTTGGTTTTGGCTTTGGAAAATGGTGACAAACATTTATGACCTTTTACAGAAAACATAGTCATATCAGTGAATAATGGGACACCTCATCAGGCAAATTTGGAAAAGTAGGAAGTAGCAAGAAGATTAAATTTTTTAAAAAATTAAAGACAAGTTTAAATGGTGTGTAATTTGTTTCCATGCGTGGGGATTGCTACACAATAGCCTATGCACTTAAATGCTCTGTGCTTAATATCAAGGTTGCCTTCCCTCATGACAACTTCATTTGATTGCTCTCACAGTAGGAGGCTCTTGTGATATTCCTTGATTAAGATTTAAAAAAAAATCCCCCCTGTGAAGCTACCATCAACCAAACGTATGATGCAATCAATCATCTTGAGCTTTTCTGCTTGACTACAATATGAGTAATTGCCTCTTATTGTCTTGGTGTTGCTAGGGGTTCCCAGACCTCCTCTCTCAGGGCTAAAGGGTCAGTGCCCAGTGGGGGGAAGTGACAACCCTGTACTGGAATTTTATGCTGATGAATAAACTACCTGTTAAATTAGACATCAAAAGTAAAGAAAACAATAGTACAGAGTTGTTGTTTAGGCAGTGCCAAGGGCAGGGAGGAGGTCCAGTTGGACCAAAGGAAATAAAAGTCACTTTAAGCTGTGCTAAAGCCATCAGCAGACTGTTTCCCAGCTGTTCACATGTTTAAATCAAAGTTGCTTGAATATGAGCTGGGGTGTCTCTTAATAATATACCACATTGTGCTGAGGCAACATTCTCTGCATAATCAGCACCAATCATAAGCAGAGGGAAGTGAGGCTGGAGGAATGGTGAGGCCTGGGTGAGTGTCAGGTGGACCGTCATACAAAGCACTACAGCGGGGGAGAGCCATGTAAAACCCTCCTGAGTTCAAAGGTGGCAGTGATTGAGTGGTTGCCCAGCAAGGAAGTCCTCCCCTTAAAATAAAAGTCATTCTCTGGATGCCTGGACTCATTTTTCCTACCATGCCGAGGCCCTGATGGGACAAGCAGGCCTGCAATGACTCCTCGACTTCAGGTTTTGAAATCTAGAGGAGACTCTGAGTGGGTGTTTGTCGAAGTCTGGCAAGCTCTAAATCAGTTACAGGTTACAGGGCTTCAGAGTGTCATTAACTCTGCTAAGAGTGTCTCAGTTTTTTTTACACAGTCTCTCTTAATAATTTATAAGTGCTTTTATGTTGCTTTCACAACTTTAGCCTGCTTTTTGCTTGAGCTTAAGAGAGATTGGAAAGATTTGCTCTAGAACAGTTTACTTTACCATTGTTGCTCTTTTAAACCCCTTAAGTGTAAGCCACAGGACTTTGAAGGAGTATTAATAGTCGCTACTGTGCAGGGAGCAGCAGAATAATAGGAAAAGGTTTAAAGTGTAATTACTGAGCTCAGAGGTGTGACCCTGTAAATTAGCCCTGTCACCAAGCTTCACATGTAAACCTTAAGATGCCGGCAGAGAGCTGCAAGAGAAAATCTCGGCAATATCAGATGTTTTTCCTAGAATAAACTCTAAAGTGAGAACATATTGTCTCCGGGTCTTTACAGCAGTTTAGAAGAACAACATCTTTAAATCATCAAACGATCAGCTGGATTTTGCAGTTTGTCTACGTCACTCCTTTGAGATTATTTGTATTTGTTGCCTGGTGTTGGATTGTAGCAGACAGCCATGAGTCACAACTTAAATCAGGCTGGGAGGTATCTCATTCAGGACTCTTTGGAAACAAAGAGATTTTAGTACTCGCTCTTAAAAACAGCCAAACGTCGGCCTGCTTTTGTGGTCAGTCCTTCAGATTGTCACCTTCAAGCTTTTTTCCCCACCACTTTTCCTTTGTGCTCCTATTCCTCACGCATGGGTTCTCCAGACAAAAGGGAAAACTGGCCAATTACTTATTTTTTTAGGCTGAAGAAACTTAGGCCGAAGACAGTTATAGCGTCTACATTCCTGCACAGCGGGGAGGTTTCCAAGCAGGTACTCTGAGTCTCTCACAGTGTGTTTGTGTGTGCTGATCTGTCACTGACGGGGGCATGAGGAGGGGTGCAGCATACGTACGCCAGAGCCATGATGCTCAGAGGTCGGCCTGCCAACGACTCAAAGCGCATTAGTGTCTTCATGTTGTCAGACAAAAGGCCCATCCCGCTGTCTGAATGACCCTAATGAAGATTGATCGACAAGCAGAGATTGAATACTTAAAACCAATGCTGTACATAGAAATTAAAACATGTGACTCAATTTAATGCATTTACATTTTAATTATTATAACTTATAACAAATTCCAGCTAACTTTAGCAAATAAAAGCAATAGCATCTAACTGCTGCAGGAAACCTGGCTCTGTTATAACTAACCAAATGTAGCTAAAGTAGGTAAGAGGAGGATTTATGAGTCAAAAATCTGAAACATATCATTAAGGTTTAGCTGTCACTGTATGTAACAGTCAAATGTGGAGCTGAAATCAAAAAAAGGATAAGTTGTACTGAATGATGTGCATATTTTGTGTGTTTCAGGTTTAATTTCATGCCTAATAATTTACCTCGTGGTTCTCACTTGTTCCGTCCTCCATCATAACCTCATCAAAGGTTTTTACGCTGGCGGGACGGATCTTAATATTCCTGGAAGCAAAAAACAAAAACAAATCTTGGGTTAAGACTCCAACCCACCTTTAAACATTCAGTTCAGAGAGTCCTTTGATTACACTGGAGCTGAAAGGCCAAGTTCAGCAACAAAACCAGAGGAACTTAATCACTTGCGTCAACAATGTGGTGCATCTATGACATTGTACTTTGAAAACACACCTTGTTTGCTTTGCATTTCAATGCTCAGAGGCTAAAACAGCAGCTTAATTTAACTTAAAGGGTAGCTGTCATTACTGTGTTTCAGCACCTCTTCCAAAAACACACTTGGGGGACTTGAGAAAATCCAACAGCTCAACAAATATTATTTTAAGTGGACATAAATCCTGAAGCCTCGCTTTATAGTTTCTGAGGAAATACCTCGCAGGAGCCACAACACTGAAGGCTCGCAGACCATCGAGCTGACGTCTGTGTATTTCTTATCACATGCCAATCGGGTCTCTCATTGTCCTCAGGTTGGACCTAAACGTTCTCCTGGTTGAGTTTAGTCTGAACGTTATGGGAACAATAATTGTTTTAGATATTTTTCAGTTAAAAAAACGATTGAGGTATTTCCTTCGCAAAACAGACTCTGCGCTGTTTGCCTGTACAGTCTGAGGATTGGTTTACATGTACGTAGGACAAGGTGATGGATTTCCTTTGAATGACTTAACAAGTTCACTGGGGAGTGCAACAGACTTGAGCCAAGAAGACTAAAAGAGACTGCAGCCAATCTAGCAGCCCTGTGGGGCTGTAATTCATAAAACCGAATATTGGACAAATATAAAGTTTGACTTGATGACAGTTCTGCATTAGTAGATAAGAGAGGGAAAGTTATCACATGTAATCCTGAAGGAGGAATTAATGTTTCTTCTAAACTTCAATGGAAGACATTAAAACTCACAGGGGTGACAGACGGGAATTCTGGGGAACAACAATATTTCTAGACCCTGAATGTCTATCACAGACTGGAAATGAAAGAGGGACAAAGCCACTGTGATTTGGTTTCCAGTTTTAGAGCTTCAGCTCAAATCACTGTGTTTGGATTGGACTATTAAAATTAAGGGACATTGCACACTAACTGAAACTAGTGGTCAAGTGCATAAATTCATCAAGAAATGTTTACTGTGTTCAATATTCAAACACAATAAAGCTTCTGTGCAAGTTGACTTTTTTTTTTTTAATGGAACCAGTGGAGTCGCCCGCTGCTAGCCACTTAAAAAAGAATGCAGTATTTTTTTTTTACATTTAATATCTCTTAAAACATTTTCAGAAATTTGTAGTTTACTGAACACATTCTGATATATAAAAACCCCACCGCCATTTGGCCAACAAACTCCATCGTGATGCAGGTGGCTTTTCCATCTTGAGTGAGTGAGTATTTATCTATTTGCATTGCTACTAAACCTCAATAATTCAGAGAATAGAAACAGCGGGGCATCTTCAAGTTAAAAATTCATATAAAAATAGAAAGAAAATAAAAAGAAATCTCAAAAGTAAAAGGATTAGTCCACCAATTTCTGTACTAGGACATTAATAGTTTAGGATTTATTAAGTTTTCATTTAAAATTTAGATTATGCTCAGCTTCTTGATTGCATTTGCTTATTTTGTTTATATTTGCTTATTTTTAGTGTTAGTTTTTTGTTTTATGATATATTATAATAATATTGGTGCAGGTGTAGTGTTGGGTGGAGGGTGAAGTATATGTTATTTTTCATGTGCAAGATTAAAGTAGATTTAAATCTGCACAAAATTTCATGGCAACTCCTGCAAATTTGCAGTCTGCAGACCTGTAGGGGTCAATTAAACTCTTTACAGCACCAGTGCCAGTGCTTGTGTATTGTCAGTACCATAGCAGGGAGGAAAGCACATGTGTCCGTGAGTATTTTAGTGTGATTTATGAAAACTAGTCCATGAAAAATACTCCATCTTCTTACCAGTTGCTCCCTGAGTCGCGGTGGGAGGTTGGCCGTGTCTCCTCTGACGATACTGGAACAGTCTGGTCTCCCACCTTTGCCAGCAAGGCTGTGTTGATGGGTATGTAGTGCTTACCCTCCTAAATCAACGAAACAAGAAGGTTTATGATTGATGCTATGCGCTCTGCACAAACACAAACTTCCATAGGTTGTGGTGAGCTGCCAAAGAAACCAGGCTCATGGCTCCAAAATCCATAACCATATTCATGAAGCTGGAACAAGTAGCAGGAGAGTTCATGACCGAGCTTCTTGTTACACAAGCTTTAGTAATGAAAGTCTGTTCTTTCTGTTCTGTTTCTCATGAAAGTAACGTTCACAGACTCATTTGTAATGCAACAGTTTTCATTTGATGTGATGTGATATGTGGCCTCATCTGTGTCTCTTATTACTTAACTGGACAATCTACAGTCCTCCAAAGACATGAAATGTAATTCCTCTGTGTAGCTATCTGTCTGCAGTAATGTACATTATGGAAAAAGGCCTGTTTACTTCTGTGAAAGAAAGATGCCTTGTGGTTCCTGATGACTGTAAGTGGTCCGGTTTTGTTCAGGTTTTAACCAGTTTTCTATCCACATTGACAGCTGATAAGCAATCGTCTTTCTTAAATATACATTCATCAGCTTCAGTCGCTGCTACTCTTCCATCAAAAAATGAGGCCTTTTGTTTTAAACGTCAATTTTAAACGTAGGCTGTAAGGTTAAGAAGACAAACAGCCTTCAAGTGCACTTAACGTACACGGCAGGCGAGCAGACTGCCTTCATCAGAGTCTGCATGGATCCACTCTGGTTTTAGTCTTTTTGACACATGCAGGCATGCAAGCCATAGAAAGCGACTTTATTAAGAGTGAGTGTAATTTAGTCTTCCAAGCCTTTTTAGCAGCACGGGAACTCAGGTGTAAAATTTCACTTAGCTGCTTCAGTTTCAGCGCCAATCACGCTCTAATGGGACACTTTTGGCCTGATTTACTAATGGTCTGTGGCAGTGCAAAGCCTTCTTTTGGCATTATGAAGCTACTGTTGGGATTTAAAGCAGTGTGGTGTCAACTGAGTAAAATTACTTTTTACAGTGGGATGAGCAGTTTTGCAGTGTTTCAGGTTAAGTCACAATGAAAACTTGATTTCTCTATGTGTCACATCTCTTACATACTTGCCAGTATACTTGTGTGCACAGCGCTGATTTTAATTAAAAAGCTGCAACATCACATAGAAATGTGGAAAAAATTGCTTTTTCATATTTATGCACAATGGATAGTAACAATAACTTTAATAATACAGTTCAGGCTCTATTGGTAAATAATGTTTCGTGTTCTCTTGGTAATAAGCTGGTTATTATCCAAACAAATTGGCTTTGTCTTTGTTGGTAAATTATGCATTGTCAGTAGATCAGCCACAGACCGTTAGCCTCATGCTAATTTCCCCTTTGTGCTTTAACAGAGTGAAGGCAATGTTAATGCAAGCATAGCCACTGTTCTGTCAAGTCAAAATATCTGCAAGTAAAAAGGTTTTCTGGACTCTCAGGTGTGTTTCATCTCATTTCGGTGTCAAATATTTGCCCAAAAAACTAAACATTACGACTTGTTCTTGTCTTTGTTGACCCAGTCATAACAAAGAGCTGTTCAGCTTTGTAACAGTCTGTGTCATTTGACACCAGACAATGTTATCATGTGTCACACTAACAATTACATTGTTTTTTTCCCACGTGTTTTGAAGTGTTGTTCCTCTACACAACCGATGGTGCCATTTCAAGGAGAGCCAAGTGTTTGTGCTGACTTTTGTTTCCCTTCTCAGTTACAGCGAGCAAAACACTTCAACTTTTGTTTTTTCCCCCCCTGTTAATCACCAGCAGTGCTTGTGACTCATCCTGTAAATCTGGTAACTAATATTGGTAAAACTGTTCTTGTATAAAACCGCAACATGGTCAGAAATCCTCCCTGATGTGGGGATTTAAATTTGAAATATATCCACACTTCTCAGTAAAAACACTTCAATAAATCTCTGGTATATCCTCATAAACTCGCAGTTTCAGTTCACGCCCAAGCCTGATGGCAGATCAGAACAGTCTGGTGTTTAAACAGTGAGACGTGAACTCTATAATTTGCAGTGTTTAATTGGTTAAGTTTTGCCCATCATACCTGTTGCACACTAGCCTGAAGCAAGTCTCCCAGCCTTTCCACCAGCTCAGTGAAGGTCGGCCTCTGCTGTGGCTCACCCTGCCAGCAGTCCAGCATGGTCTGATATCTGTGAGGAAAGAGCAAAGATAAATACTGGATGGATACACTTAATGTCAAAGCCAAGAACAACATTCGGTATATTTGGGTTGATGTATTGTAAAATGTAGCACCTTCAGGAAGAAAAACATCGACCTCCAGAGTCGTGGCTCTTTGTCTCTTTCACCACTTATAAACAAACCTCTTTTCACTGAGCAACCACATGTGGTCCACCTCTAAACCAACTGCCACACATACGCTTCTGTATTGTCAGTAAATCTCGAGCCTCTGGGACTGTATCAGTCTCTGTTCTGGTTTTGGGTGTGAAAAACACACAGCCTCGCTCAGGTCTCTGAAAAGCTGTCAACCTCTCTGCCCATGTGGGAAAACTCAGAGCTTTAATGTGATTTTCCATTGCAATGTCCAGCTACATTTCGTGAAGGAATTTTGAAACAGAGCACCTCAGCTCCTGTTTAAATTATATTCACAGCACACTACTGATTGGGATCAATCAATGGCAGACCCTTTTCTGCTTTCAGCTACAGCAGCTACCACATTCCCTCCAGAGATCTTACGTTTTATGTAAACATAGCCATTGTTATTACATTTTGCCATTATATTTAGTCAATCTCAGGTCTTAGGAGTTGGAAAAGCAGTTGGTCTGTTGGTATATCAACCCAATATCCTCGCATCGAAGAAGCAGAGAAACTGGGATTCCCACCTTGATTAATACAGAGTGCACTCTACCAGGTGCTAGCCCTCTTAACAGTGACAGGATGTAGGGAGCATGATCACAGCCCTCATGCATATCATTGAGGAGGAAGTAGACACATTGTATGACTGCACAATTTAAACCACATTTCCTGGCTGGTCCGTAATGAGAATAAATAGCATAGGCCCACATGTTTAGAGGTCTTGAGGGAGTCTGGTGTTTCTGAGGGGGAAAGATTCTGAAGAAGTGAACTACTTCATCCGGTTGGGCAAATGCAGTAGGATGGGAAATGAGCATCCTATTTATTGTGCTCCCACTCTGTTTAAATTCTTGCGCAATGCATCAGGACGGGGGATCTTATTAGCAGGCGGGAGACAACATTCCTGATGAATCAGGGCTGTGAGAACACAAATTAAATGGCGCTCCCTGAAACCTCATGTGGTTTTAATCATTCTTATATTCTGAGTTTGGGACGAAGGTCAAGGTGTCATAACCTGGGATTAGAGATCAACTGTAAAAATCTCACGGGGATCACCATAATTCACCCCAATGACTCTGCATGAATTCCTGTGCATCCTATTTAAAGTGATATTAACTGGGGTTTTTTTTATCTTAACTTTAAATTACATGCAGGCCCCACAGCCATAAAAATGCAAAATATGTAATTTGGCAACCCTACACTATTTTAGACAATGAGCTAACTGAACTGAGATGGAAAATATGAGGGATTTTTGGCACCAGTAGGTCTGCATCTACAGATCATGTGCCCTAACTGAAATCTACGGTCTGGATTAGATTGAGTGAATCGTTTCCAATCATGGCCAGGCAGAGCTGATAGATTAATCCAGTTACCTTTACTTGGCAACATTCTGAAGCTTTTGATAGCATATCATTACTAAGCGGACGTGCAGCATTATTCTTTCAAAACAAATGCAACTTGTGAATTTTAAGTAAGTGAGGCGTGTTAAATGAAATCCAGACACAACATATGCACACGTGTTCAGCGAGAGCTGCAGAGCTCTGCAGGGTTCGGATCAGTTGCAGAGCGACTACACGAGGCGTATCACAAAAAAAAGTTTCACTTGCTGCTTTACGAACTGACAGAACTGACACCAAAGAGGGGGCTCTGTGTTCTCTTGCACATATTTATGTCTATCTGAATCCTCCAATCCTTTCGAAAAAGAATAAAAAAAACCCTCCTCGTCAGGCCTCCAAAGTAGGCATTTGAATTAAGTGCTAAATTTCCTCTGCACCGCTGTCAGTCAGAAAACGCTTCACAGCTCCAAGCATGCCGCTGTAGTGAATCACCAGCTAATATTTCCTCCTGCAACTCCGAGAGCAGAATTTTTATCCAGCACCCCTGACCTGCTGGTGCAGTGCAAAGAGGGAGAAGGAAACAAGACCTCCTCTTAGCTGCAGACTGATATGACAGGGCTTATTTTCTTTGAAAGGAGAACATATGGCCGGTGATGTGGAGGTTACTGCCTGAGACATAAACACACCTTCAAACTATATGGTGTATTTTTGTTTCATGAAATAAGTCTTGGATTTTTCCAATCAGACCTACAGGATAAGACCAATATTCAGCACTTTAGTTCAAGTTATTTCTTAGGAACACTGCCTTCTTCACCGTTTCATCCCATTTGGTAGAAACACCTCCTCTTTTGTTTTTAAAGAAAGATGATACCCTGAATTCTTACATTTCAGAGGAAGCATATTCTGGCGCTCTCATCCTGGTTCCCTCTTTGAGTTTGCAGCAAAAGTCTTCATCGATCTGGACGCCCGGGTATGGGGAGGCACCTGACAGACAGACAACGTGGTTTGTTATTTGTTATTTACATAAAGGCGCAAACACAGTTCAATTAAATAACTACATCTGAATTTTAGATGTGAGAAAATGATCCCTTTGGATTAATTAAAGTATGAAACATCTACATTTATTATTTAAAGAAAAGGAAAACCTAAAATAGTTTATTCTACTTCTTATTTTAACTGAAACATTAAAAATAATATGCAGTGACACAATATTAACATAACTCAAGTGAACACAAGCCAAACAGATAAATTACTGGTCTTTGCTTTGTCACATAAAAATCTCTCTCAGATTTGGATAGTGTAATAAGAACTGTGTTCAAACCAATTTAAATGAAATATAAATGACTTCTGGCTAAAAATGATATACAGCCAAACCGTAATGTTTTTAGACTCGTTAAACTGTCTAATGGATCACTCACCAACCAAATGGGACATTTTATTTACCTTTGAACTATAATGTTGGGTATAAAATTCTAATGCTTGGTTTACTATGAAAACATAGCATGAAATACTAATGGGTATCAGATTCCCAGTCTGCTGGTTTAGGGTAGTAATGCCCGTTTTCTGAATTATCAAGTAATATTTTTCTTTGCTCCAATCCCAGTGAATAATACAACAAATCATCTTTGCAGCTCCCCAGATTTACACAGAGCGACAGATTCGGCTTTGCACAGAAAGTAAAATACCCAACGTCAGCTCCAGCTGTCATCATATTTCTAGATGCGGCTCATGTCCATTCAGTGTTTCCTGACGTGTGGGTTTGTGTGTAAACAAAGCAAGAACCTGAACGTGGACTTAAATGGATGCACTAATCCACTATGTAATTTTAATGCATATGGCACAATTTTAACCTAAATATTTTTAGTGTACATGACTGGATTTTTGTTATAGTATTTACAAAGTAAAATAGAAGGAATTTCACATTTGATTCATGTGTAATACGTATCGTTAATGTGCAAAGTTTGCAATAAAATACCCATTTCATTATATCATACTGTAAACTGCTCTTGCCTTCTAAGTTATATTTAGTTGGTTTTATTACGAAAAAAGTATACTTTGGTATTTTTATATTCTTTAAAATTTTAATCGGCATTTATCGGTCTAATCTATAGGGTGGGCCATTTATATGGATACCCCGTAATAACATGGGAATGGTTGGTGATATTAAAGTCCTTTTTGTGGCACATTAGTATATGTGAGGGGGCAAACACCTCAAGATGGGTGGTGACCATAGTGGCCATTTAGAAGTCGGCCATCTTGGATACCACCTTTGTTTTTTCAATCTGGTTGTTCAGTCTGACGTCACTAGCCGTGTCTGGACCTAAACTCCGCTGCAGGTCCATATATCAAACGATCACTATGGCATTACTGAGAGTTGAAAAACTGTCTAAAGTCTTTCATCTTTAATAAAATGATCAGCGTTCTGCTCTACCAGGTGTAACAATTGAGTTTAACATCCAGGCATCCATGAAAATGGAATTTATGACATTTAACGGAGTTAGAAGTTAGCAGGGAGTTAGCTCGCTACCTTCTATCTAAATACAATATAGCATGTCCTGACTGCGGGGTTTTGGAAACAAATTAAAACGTACAGCTCTGTTATCACTTCCAACATAAATGAAGACAGAAAACTAAACAGCAGTGACGTTTGTAGGGTGACTGAAGTTGGGCTAGCTGGTATATAATGATGTGCTACGTGACCGCTAGCGACACAGCTATGTTAGCATAATATAAACAAGCTAACTTTTTTTCCACTCGATAAAAGTTAACGTGAGTGTTCTCGGTGGTCAGGATCAAATGTAATCACATGGCAGGATGCTGTAAAAGGACCAAATTTCAGCCAGGAGAACAACTGAGATAATCCATCCATAATACGAGGTTAGTCATTCATATACTGCTGCATGGGCTGGGCTGTAGCTACATCCTAAGGTTTTAAAAACTGAGCTTAAATAAATGATTAGCGGTAATAAAAGCCGAGGGAGGTCAACAGTGATCACTGACTGTTTTAGGAGCTTTTTGAGATCAAATAGAAGAAAATACATAACATTAAACATGTTAACAACACAAAAGCCATATTAAACGCAGACTACTTTAGGCCCGGAAGTAGGATTCGTCGTGTCATCACTGAACAACCGGATAGGAAGAGGGCCATGTGACATATCAAACTTATTGGTAATGTCACAAGAAAAACAATGGTGTGCTTGGTTTCAACGTAACTTTATTCTGTAGATTTTTATACACCAAGCACACCATTGTTTTTCTTGTGACATTACCAATAAGTTTGATGTGTCGCATGGCCCTCTTCCTATTGAAAAAACAAAAGTTGTATCCAAGATGGCCGACTTCTAAATGGCCACCATGGTCACCACCCATCTTGAGGAGTTTGCCCCCTCACATATACTAATGTGCCACAAACAGGACTTTAATATCACCAACCATTCCCATTTTATTACAGTGTATCTGTATAAATGGCCCACCCTGTAGTATGAGAGACCTAGTACATTGTTTGGCATCAATACTGTACTAACAATCTGGATACATGAACTCAGAAAACTGAACTGACAAACTTTTGGTTCATAAAATAACAGAGAGTATACTGTAGAGCTCCAATTTGTCAAATTTAACCCCCAGACATCAAGTTGCACTATTGCAAAGATCTATTTCTCTGACTTTCTTTTGTTGTTGCTCATTTTGTGTCCCTGTTTCTTGATTTATTTTTGTAAGGCTCAGCTAACACTACCCAGATGTGCGAGTGTTTCTTGGAAAGTGTGGCGATAAGGTGGTGAAAGAGGAAGAGTAAAAAAGACAAAAATAAATAAAGGGAAGAAAACTGTGTCATTGTGACATCGGCATGCTTTCCACTGAAAAGATACAAATATACACCTAGCACTAGGTTTCTCATACAATCACGGACCAACGCACAACGCTGCCTTAAAGGCTGGAGTGGTCACAGCAGGGGCACACTTTTACACTGATCTGGCTGCTTGGTTACTGTGAGTTTATGTTGCCAGCTGGGTTGAAACAGACTGCTTGAATAAGGGGCGCTCACTTGTTTTAATGTCCCATGCCTGTGATAATATTCACAGGCCCTGATTGTTTTTTGCATGAGTGCCAGGAAAACTGTAATGCAAGTCCAGGCTGGCAATGCAAGTCCAGACGCCTTTGTCCCAAAGGCACAATTACACAGTGGAATAAGACAGCTATTACCCAGGACATCTGGTGAGGCTGTAAAAGCTAGGGGCACTAATCAAGTCCATTATCAAGATGAACATCATGCTAAACGTCCATCCATCCATCCATCCATCCATCCATCCATCCATCCATCCATGTGTATGTGCAGGACTGCTCATATACAGTTTTGACTTATGACAGAGACGAATGCTTTATTGGCCTGCCAGCCCTGAATATGTGAGGATTACGAGACTAAATTAGATACATAAAGTGTAAATGTGAAATACAAATAATAACTCAGCCTTTTAATAGCCTTTTAAATCTATTTTTTTAGCTATAAGTTTCATAAAATGTTGCAAACAATGACATACAGCTATAAATACTGCCAACACTTCAATACTGTTTAAATGCTGAATTCAACTTGTTCCTGATATTTATCTTTGTTGTGTTTGCCTTTGAAATGTTTTTGCTAGTGACCAATAAATATCTTTTTGGTTTTGACTAAATAAAATACAGTTTGAGTACATATCAATTAGGCCTTAGGTTAGGTTGCACCTCTTGCTTAAAATCTGACCCATCAAGACACTCGTTGTCAGGCCTATTTAAAACCTGTCTGGCATCCAGTCAAATCCATTTTACCTTGTTTGTAGATTTTTTGCCTAAAGTTGACCTTTTGTACTAATTCTGTCTAAATACTTTTGCCTTTGGACTGCACTCGGGTAACTTTGCAGGATTCAGAGTTCAAGAAAATCTTTACTTATCCTATGCCGGTGCCTAGGTGCAGTCACTCAGTTCATCCACTATCTCCAACATGTTTTTTTAAGCTCTACTTTCTTCAAGGCCAACATCCCTGTAAATCAACTTTTATCTGAAACTGAGCATTTAGAGCAGTCTGAAGCCCAAGATTTAGGTTTACAGGGGTTAAATGTACATATGACTTTATAATTTTAAACTCTGGCCATGTTTAATATAATAGGTTGACTTTAAGGATATATGGTGACTTATGTTTCCAGAGAGAAGTTTTATGCAACTCACGCGTTACTCAGAACCACCAACTGTGATCTGTTATTTGCAAGTCGTCAAAATACAAATTCCTCTTCACAGTTTCATTTTGAGTTTAAAAATAATCATTTGTAACAGTCTCTCCCACAAAGAAGCTTTGGGTTTGGTTTTCTTGTACTGTAAAACAGCTATCATGTCTGTGTAAGAGACTCGTGACACTTACCCAGAGAGAAGATCTCCCACATGAGAACACCGAAGGACCAAACATCACTCTGAGTTGTGTAGATCTTGTCAAAAATGGCCTCAGGTGCCATCCACTTAAGCGGCAGTCTAGCCTGTGCACAAGTATTTAGAAAAGAGATTATATACTACCTTCTATCATCTGTGGATATCTCCAAAATTAATGTGAACACTGATTACACCACACTATTACATCACTGGGAAAACTAGGGAGTATAAACACACATTTCAAACAACTCCTAAATGTATCAAGTCTTCTTGTTTCTCAGTAGTTCTCAGTAGTAGCAGTAGTTCACTGTTTTGGTGTGGTCTAATAATGATACTAATAACCTAATAAACTTACATCTCCTTTGCGCACGTAATCTGGGTCCTTGTAGACATCCCTTGCGAGTCCAAAATCACAGATCTTCACAACATTATTCTCAGAAAGCAGGATATTACGTGCAGCCAGATCACGATGAATGCACTATTAAAAAAACAGCAAAAAACATAGTGAGATTTTTACTGCAAAACTGTGTTTTCTGAACATTGCAAGTTTGAATTCACTGCTACGCTGCATTTGGGGAAACATATGGTCAAGCCATCAGTGATATTACAATAGGAAATTCTTTTTTCTATATACAGACTCCTTCTGTAGATTATTTATAACAATGGCTTCATTCTCTAATCAGTGTCATCCTGTTCTCCAAAACTATGAATGAGCTGAAAAATAAACGAGTTCTACACGTACATCCTTTAAACATCAGTGGGCACGCTTAAAAATAAAACCGTTAAGTTAACAATGAAATGCATTGACTTCTGTTGTGAGGGAGAAAATACCTTTCGTGAAGCCAAGAACTCCATGCCTTTTGCAACTTGGAAACTGTAGCAAATTAAATCTTCCAGTGTCAGAACTCTCTTATATAAATCCTCAGGTTCTGTGAAAGAAAACAACAAGTCCCAGTCAGAGTGATTATTCATTCTGGCCTTTAACTTTAAGACAATCCTATTCCTCTGCTTAGTGTTTTGAAATGTTATCAGCAGCCCTCCACACCTGTCAAATAAATCAGATAAGATGAAGCACTAGCGTCTCTCAAGGGAGAAACTGCAAAGGCCCTGGACTACAACACGCCATCTTAAGAATCCATCCTGACACATACATGTCTCCTCCACACTCTGTCTTTAAAACATTCTTTATAGACGAGTGATAGAAAAAAATATTACACGCCCTCCTATTTTTCAGATGTCAGGTGAAACGTGTAGTTATGGACGCAGCATGCTGCAAGAGGAACTCACAAGGAGCTCTTCCACTTCCACCTGAGTAAACAGCTAATCAAACCCAAAATAACACATTAGAAACAACAAGGCTGACGTGCTGAGCTCAAGGCAGAGAGCTGTGCAATAGTCGGGGTCAGGAGAGGAAATAAACAGACGCCTCCCCAGACTCAGTGGGGTGACAGTCGCTCCTGCTGCACTGATTGTACTGCTGAACAGGAGGAGGAAATGTCCCATCAGACTCAGACTGAAAAACAATCTGATGGGAGCTTTCATTCCTGGGCAGAAGGGGTGGAGCAGAGGTGAGAGGAGGAGGGGGAGAAGAAGGGGGACAGCAGGAGGGACAAGTGGGGAGGAGAGAGGAGTGCGGGGGTTGAAGGGAAGCAAGACGTGCTTGGCTTTTACCTTCTTCCTCTTCCTCTGAGTCACAGTAGCTCTTATCTTCGATAAAACCAGAGCTCGCGGAGCTTCCGGTGCTGGCCACGCTCTCCAAGCGGCGCTTCATCAGCTCGCTGAGTTCGCAGCCCAATCCGGATGAAACCACTTTACCATCCGGGCTCTGATCGACACACAGGTTTCATTATAAATAGGAAATTCAATTATAAGTTTTACACGCATCAGATTTTTGTGGAATATAATCACACTGCATTAAGGTAAAATGAATTTATCTTTACAAAATAGGAGACATTCCAAGAGCGTTGCAAAAACAGTTACTCTCTGTACAAAAATGACGATACTGTACAGATGGAGACTCACTTTGTAGACGAGAAAGTCGTCTCTCTTGCCCCTCAAATAGTTGGACAAATTTCCATATTTGCAGAACTCCACTATCATCATCAACGGTCCTGTTAAAGATGGAATCATTCCTCTGATTATTATTTACGGGAATAAAAACAAGGGTCAAAAACAGATGCCAACTTAATCCTAAACCTAACGAAGCTGGCAGTATTTTAGTATCCTTTAAAAAGACAATGCTTCTATATATTTTATAATCACAGTAATAATGCTCACCGCCAGGTTTCGTGCAGGCTCCCAGCAGGTTAACCACATTGAGGTGATGGCCAATGTGGATCAGGATCTTTAACTCTGACATCAGAGCCTTTCGCTCGTTTGATGTAGCGCCTCCTGTAACGAGTGTAAACATCAGCTGGTGCTTCAACATCCAAAGTAAATGGTCTCGTAAGCCTTTTAATTTTAGAAACTTCCAGCTTGACTAAATTCATGTGAAAAACAAGTAAGCATACACATGTTTTTTAACTAAAACAGAGAGTGGAGAGTTTTTTTTAAGTGCATTCAACTTATTATCTGTATTTATATATTAACAGTGAAATCTATTTTACTTTTTAATTTCTGAGACCTAAGACTACTCTAAAATCTAATGTGGTATACAGAAATATTACTTAGATTTTTATTAACTGCATTGTTTTGCACAATACATTGCAAGCAGAAAGTTTATGTTCACAGTTTTTTACTATGGGGAAAAGGCTAAAAAACTGGGATTACAGGAGCAATTTAATTTAATTCAATTTAAGTATTGAAACAAGAGAGAAAGCTATGTGGAGGGTTTTTTAGGCCCAGTTATATCAAACAGCTTTTGTTGGACGACATCTTGAAAGATAAATACCAAAATAATTACAGAGATAAGAGGGGAAGTGTTCACATTACACACCTGAGTTTGAGAAGTTTATTCAGTGATATGAGTTTACATTGAATTATGAGAATCGAGATTTAGACCATGCTTTTTTTTCCAATGACCAACCACAAAACCAAAGCCGCCAGATTCTCTGACTAAATCATGGCCAATCTGAGAAAACCTGCTGCTTTCCATTAACTTTGACCTATGACTAACAACAGCCAGAGCATTAGTTCCTTTCAGTGAACCTGTGATTTATGAAGAGTAGTGATTAATGATAAGAAAGAGCAAAACATCTACCCAGTGGTCCTATTTTTTCCTTCTTGCAAACACATCTTCCCCAAATCTCTACTCACTGATAGGTCTGCAAATTGCTTCTATAGCGTTGCCAAAAAGAAAGAATTTTAGGGAATTACATGTGCCATTCATGCATTCGCTGCGGTGAATGAAATAGCTTTGCAATAACAGCCAAAATTGTTTAGCTTCCTGTTTTCATTTTGAATATTTACAGTGAACATTTGGAAAGATGTCGGAATGAGATTGTAAATGCTTCAAATAAAGACTGAACACAGGAGGATTTCCAAATGTTTGACTCTCTAAAATGTGTCAAATAAACACATGAGCATATTTTTGTTGCTCATGTTGGGCTTGTCTCTTATACTTTAAAAAAAAAAATTCACACGAATAACTTGGACACTTCTGATCAAATCCATTTCCCAATTCCCGTCAGCGTGAGAGGTTTTACTATACATGCACTTTGCAAGAAACCGGCATTGGATGTTTTTTGCTTTGAGCTATAACACCATGCAAACATTAACTCTGTGTATGGTGATGTAGTTTATGAGTCTGTGTAATGCATGTGAAATAAATCTTATGCAGAAGTGGCAGATATTCAACATTCATCTGCTGCACATTAAACGATGACTTTACTGCCGGCCTGTGCAAGTACTACGACCATTGCACCACTATTGGTAGATTGGCCAAATTATGTAAGAATGTGCACAACATAAAAGGTCAGTGAAGTTTTTGGACATCCTACCTTTCAGCATTTTGACTGCAACAGTCTTGCAGGTTGAGAGCTTGTCGATCCCAAAAGCAGAAGCCTCGACCACTTTTCCAAAAGCTCCATGGCCGAGTGTTTTGCCTGGCAAAGGAAGAAGGTTTTTGATAAGTGGAAAGGCATTAGAACTTTCTGTCAGGCTCTATAATTAAAGCAACCTGCTGAAGCTCTGACAGTTTTTCTGTGAGGATTTGTGGTTCACTTGAGACCGGATGATAGCCAGGTTCACTGATAACCCTACATACCAGCTGCAGAGAGGGGTTACACCTATTCATTGTACCTTATGTAGCTCTGTCTATGATTTAATACTAACTGATAACCTTTATATACATTTTTGTCATCATTAAAATTCAATCTAAAATCTTAAAGGCAAGATGTTACACAAACAGTGATGTTTAACTGAGACTTAATACTGATGCTCTGTCTTTGTTTAAATGTCATTTTGATGAGTAGACTGTGGAAGATTTCCAGTTTGGCCCCAAACCTGCATACATAAAACTTCCAGAAAGCAAAACAACATATTCAAAAATCCTGAGGTGACGGGCTATGTATAAATTTGCTGCTTTGTTATGATCTGCTGTATCTACACTTACTGGACTCTTTGTTAGGTACAAATTTAATTACTTGTTAATACAAGTATCTAATCAGTCAATCACATGGCAGCAACTCAGTGCATTTAGGCATCTAGACATGGTCAAGATGACCGGCTGAAGTTCATAACTCTGCAACAGAATGAGGAAGAAAGGGGATTTAAGCAATTCTCAATGTGGCGTGGTTGTTGGTCTCAGATGGATATTTCAGAAACTGCTGATTTATTGGGATTTTATCTTTAGGGTTTATGGAGAATAGTCTGACAAATAGAAAATATCCAGTGAGCAGCAGTTCTCTGGGAGAAAATGCCTTGTTGATGTCGGAGATCAGATGGGAATAGTCAGATCACCGTCACCAGATCTCAGGCCCACTGAGCTGATTACAACAGTGCCACTAGAGTATCCGACAAATCTGCAGCAACTGTGTGATGCCAAAATGTCAATATGAACCAAAGAATAAAGGCATGTATGGACAGGAAAGGGGTCCAACCTAGCACTAGCAAGTTATACCTAATGAAGTGTCCAGATGGTGCATATTTAATGATGAAACTTCTTTCAAAACACTGATGACACTAAGGATTACTCACCTAGTTGTAGGCGATCACGAGGAAACTCCCACTTGCTGCCATCATACTGAAGAAAATCATTCTGCTCCTCGAGTGGATACTCATCGGGATCAATGATGATCGATGGACCCATCTTATAATGTGCTGGTTGCTGAAAAATTAATGTTATCATTAACATTATGTTTTAGGTTATTTTAAGCGGCAAATAAGTAGTAAATAATACAAATTCTTCCTCTAGTCTTTTTTCTTTAGTCAAGTACAATATGTTCTAATTATTTCTTTTATCTAAGCTAAAAGGTTACTATTTCCCAACGATCATGACAAAGAAAAATCTTCAATACCAGCTAAAAGGATAATTCACTTAAAAAGCATTTACAACACACATGAGTCAGTCATTTCCAAAATAGCTGCCTTCAAGAACACAAAGGAGGAAGTGTAAAATACCACAAGTGCAATGCCACTCCCCTGATTTTGTGGAGTGATTCACTCTGCTTGTAAGAAAAAGCATAATGTAGTCCTTTACCTTCCTTAGCTTGCGAATGAAAAGAATAAGCATGATCCAGAGGAACGTTGCTGCAGCTCCAGTACACACCAAAATTATGACCTCAATATTTGGCTTCGCCTCATCACCTGGAAAGAGAAGAATTGTTGTCAAATACCAGACCTCCTTTGCAAAAGTGAAACTGTGGCCTTCTTGTGATCTCACATGCGTCATATTATATTGGCAGGGTCTGGTGATTTATGACCAAAAAGAAACAATCTGTAACAAATTACCAAATAAAGACTACGGCTTTTGACTAAAACCTTTATATCATCTCAACCTCTTTCACTCTTGTTTATTTGTTTCTTCCCAACTTCTCTTTCAGGGATTGTATATAAAAAGGAAGTGGAAACACGCTTAGCATTGGTGGTTTGCTTGGAGAATGCATACCACACTTTTTTCCTGTAGTGTTTTCATCTAAACACGGCTTTTCTAACCATCCATGTCCACACTACAGACTCACGTCTCTCAAATCTACACAAAATTTTTCCGGCTCTTATTTCAAGCCATCCTTGACTAAACAATCATGGCAGTGCACACATGTAGCTTGTAGCTGAAATATATATATATATATTATATATATATATATATATATAATATATATATATATATATATATATAAAGTGCACAGATATGGATGGAATGACTTGCATGATGGCCCACTTTTTTACATTTTCTAATGACCTTCTACTCCAATTATCTACTACGTGTTTCCAGTGCCTTGGTGGTTGTAGCAGTCAATCATTTTCAACTCATTAGTGGCCCTCTTAACACTTTACAAGGGTTGTGTCCTCTACATGATGGCTCCAAGCCAAAGCTATGATCATAAAACTCAAGAAGGAATTCATTTGGCATTCCTCGCAGCCACAGATTTTCTGTCAGGGGAGAATTCTCTCACTAAAGTCTGACCAGAGCTATTTGTAATGATGACAAGAAAACAAGAGGCCAAGAGGGTCTCAGAGATGTTTTGACAGGGCATGCAGAAAATGCTTGATTCTCCTGATGAGCAATGCTCTTATTTTGATCTGCAAGTTTCATTTTATGCTGACAATCCAGTGCTGTAAACATAGCAGGTCAGATTGTTTGGAAATTTCTTTATGTTTAATTGTTAATATTCCATGACTGACTCACCAAACACAGTAACCACAGCGCTTGTTTTCAGGACACCCTCAGTGTTGCTGGCTATACACTCGTACAGACCCTCATCATCTTTCTTGACCCTCTCAATGATCAGGGTACCGTCCTCGCCCAGTGTGATACCTGAAACGCACAAACTATTAGTTAAACAGCCGAAAAGAAGTGCAGAATTTTAACTTTGGAAGTTTTTTGAAAACTCGTGGCAATGCAAAGGCAAGTTTAATGACTACACAATTTTAACAGGATAAAACCTTTAATTTGTCAGTAGACTGCACTTAATTCATCTTCTTCTAATATGTCAACCCGGTCACAAAAACTGTAAAAACAACAACAAAAAGATTCTTTATGAAAGCCATAACATATGAGATACTTTTCTCAGTGGTACCTGGATTTTCTTCTAGTGGAACACCATTTTTCAGCCACATGATTTTTGGAGGAGGAACTGCTGAAGCGTTACAAACCAGCCTCAGGGTGCTGGTATTGTTCACATCTTGGCTAGTCAGATTTTGATTCAGCCACGGTCTTCTCCTGGCTGTAGGAAAATAAAAAAAAGTTTGGATTATTGGCGCTATCACTGTTTCGTAGAGGAAAAAGTGGAATCATATATAGCTCTAACTTACCATCCAAAAGAAGTACAGCCTCCTTGAGTTCAGCCTTCTTGTTGAGCTTGTAGGCTCGGCACTTGTAACCTGCAGTGCTGTTTTGAGACACATTGTGCAAATAGAGAGAAAGGGAAATGGAGTAGCGACTGAACTGGAGGCTAGACACGCTGGAAGTGACTGTTTGATTCCTGGAATCCAACCACTGTAGATCTGTGTAGAGATAACGGGTTGCCCGACAGGTCAGGTTGACGTTGTTCCCTTCAATCGCTTTCTGAGGTTCAGTGGTTATTTTCTCAGGTTGATCTAGTGTGACAAGGAACATGGAAAACAACATATTTAGTCATTTACATTTACATGGCATCTACATCCGTTTACATGCGTGCAATTATCCAAATTGCCAGAGAAACTAATTAGGACAACAGTTTTTGACACAAAGGTACTTATCAGAAGACCCAGAATGTCAAATTCCCTGTTATTTCCTGTTTCATCACTATTAATTAGAAGCATGTTGATGGTGCTTCTGCAGTGATCCAACTCGAGCGAGGCTGACTATGTGCCCCAGGGGATACAGAATGCGCTTGTTTATTCAGTTTGCTGGAAAGCATTCTCTGTTCCGTAAGAGAAGACAGCTGTTTTTACAATCCTGTCCTCTTTTTTTAGCAGCATTCCATCATTCTCTGCTTTCCTCACCTTTGAAAGAGAGTGGGATTCCTCTTGGGAATTCTCCCACCCTGGGAGAATAATTTTTTGGTACTTGGCATCCACTCCAAAAGAAGTCCTCCACCCTTCAGGACATGTGATTCATGCAACTTTTTAGGAAAGGTGATGCACTTTATTGCAAAGTGAGCTCTGCTTGTGCACGGTGACACCTCATCCCCACTGTTATTACATACCTGTCTCAGTTGATTTTCATTTTGGGAACATTTGGAACTGCTCACATGCACATAAAAAGTAAATCCTTATTGCACACACAGGCTCATGAAGAAAGAGCAATGACCTGCTGGTGCAGGAGCAGGAATGCGGTTATTCAATGATGTTTTTAAATGCATGCCATGTACAGCACTCCATATGCCTCAGGACTTGTTTGCCTCTCTTCCGCCCCGAAGCTGTTCAACTACAGTGGAAGATGTTTTTAATTAATGCCCCCCTCTGGTTTCTTTATTGCACAATGCAATCTGTGAATTCCTTTCCTGTTCTTGCAGTTCATTACAGCGTGCGATGTGCACACAGATCATTTGTAAAGCATAGAGCTCATGGTATAGTGTGCTTTGTAATTGAACTAATGTGTTTCTGCATGCAGCTGTGTGATTATAATGTTTTGGTTTTTTTTTATTACATTTTACTTGTTGTATTCTGGTGACCTACTTACCATCAACATAGAAAGGCACTGTAATGTGGGCGCTGCCAATGTCGTTCTCAGCCTTACAGTAAAATTGTCCTGAAACTCGTGCATCTCCGATCACCAGGGTACTCACAGTCTGATTGGAATCAATAAAGCGATTGTGATTAAATCTTAAAATCAGATAAAACATAATAAATATAATAATAACAGACACAAATGCTTGATATCATAATTCACTTTCTGCTGTCAGTGTGATCGATTCTAGCGGTTTCAATCACCATCAGAGCACCGAGTCGCTCTTAATAAACAAGTGGGAGGTCTAGACACAGCCTGGTGTGCTTTATAGTCTGCAGTGCTTGACATTAATGAAAGGATACAGCTGGAGTTATAAAGGCCAAAGAGTCTCCTTCATACTGGTGCTATAGATCTAGACCTGGGCCTCCATGTCCATTTCCTGGAGAGCACCTCCAACGCCATGCTCGATTTTAAGGTTAGCACAATATTTTAATGGCTTAAATAGACAAAATAATAAGTGAGACACTTGGGTGAAGGCCAGACTGCATGGGGTTCTGTTTAGTGTTCATGGGGACATCTGTTTTTGGGGTCAGTCGGCTACATCAAAGAGAGTGAATGATGTGGGTACATTGTCTGGGGTATGCTGGCCTAAACTTCCTGGGCTGGTAGGAACTATTGTGTTGGCTGTGAGAGACCCAGCTGCAGCTACAAAACCACATCAGCGTGCCTTTACTTAAACTGTTCACTTTACAAACATACAGGCATCAAAATTAAGTATCATAACGTCCAAACCTTGCTGATAGAACATTTGTCAAAACACTGAGTGACCTTATGATATTATGTTACACCTATTACTTACCATTATGTAACATGAGATTGAAAGCACTCACTGAGACGATTGTGCCTGTCCCGAAGACGTGACCTGACCAAACACACTATGACCTCTGTGCCAAAGTCTTCCCTTAGTGTTTCCTTATATTATGACTCTCCTTTTTTGCTGGGCTTTCTGAGGAGGCCCAGTCATGACTGTGTTCTCATTCACGGGCCAAAACTATTTATATGAGGTGACAGAGAGGAATTTACCTCCACCAAATCCCTCTTCGTTTAAACTGCTGCTTGTTATCGTTGAACCTTAGCCCTGACCCTCATAAAGGCGACTGGCCACAGGTACTTGTAAATAAGAGGTGCCTCAATATCTATGTCAGACACGTATAAAAATCGATGACCTGTAAAGAAGGCCAAATTTACAGTTACGTGGTGTGCAAATGACTGGATAGTTCTTGTTGTCATGTATTTCACAGTTAGTAATGGTAAACAGTCACTTAGTCATTCGCATTTACATGGCATCGACATCCGTTTCACAATTAATGAGCGCACCAGCAATTTATGGACTACAAATTCAGCTCAAAACAAAGAATCGATTCAGAAAGGTCAATGATGCTTTCTCCTGCCCTAAAACAGCTGTAATGGATTTCTTGAACCAAATCCTATACAGACAAGGGGCATGGCAGCGAAGGCCTGTTCTCAGTTAGGTATGGCATGAACAATTTTAGCATCAAGCTTCCACGGGAGATTTGAACCAAAGTCTGTGTGGGATGTTTGGGGTTTGCATGGCAATACGTCTTTGATGTCTTTTAAGGAAAACTAAGGGATTCTTATCTTCAAACTATCTAACTATTGATGCCTTAAGCGTTGATTTTTTAGGAAATAAAATCTCTCTAAATTAATATGTCTGCCTTAAAGCTAAACCTAAGCCTGCCTTCATAGTGTAGCTGTTTCATGTGCTTACATCTACTACAAAGACTCTGAAAACCTGGGGTGTATTTCACTTTAGTAATGGGAAAGGAACTATGTCTGTCAGTTGTGGTTGCACCATTTCCAAACTGCGGGCCTCAAAGAGCAAAAGCTTTTGTACAAGAGGAAAGCCAGTGTAGGTAAAGCAGTGTCTTTACCGCTATTTTTTTCTTGTAAATATAAATCCTTTCTTTTCAGATGCGGCTCATTAAATGTGTAATAAAACCAAGTTATTTGTCCCTAATTCCCAGGTAGCTTAATTCCAGGAACAAATCCCATCTCTTATCGCACATTTCTCCATACCATCTCTCTTCCAGTTCTTTATACTGGCGACAGCTATTTATTAGACTCAATTCATGAGGAAATGCATATTATAAAGTGCATCCATTGTTTAAAAACATATACTACATATAACTTTAATCTACATACCTTGTTTTTTCCTTTAACTAGTTGAGAATTCGTGTTTATGTTTTTAATCCAGTTGTAGGAATCATTTTTCCTTTCATCCACTCTGACAAAGACAGGCTCCAAATCACTACAGGAGGGAGAAAATGCAATAAAATCAATCATTCTGAACAACGAACAATGTAACAGTCTTTTGTATTTGAGAACTTTAGTGTAATATCAAAACACACCCTGTCCAGATCACACGATAATAATGTATACCCTGCTATCTCATTGTGAAGGCCCTCTCCTGAGGGTTCTCTGAACCCTCTAGCATGGGGTGTCCTACTTCTTAAACCCAGAGAAAGCCTTGATTTAGGCCCCGCTGGTGGTGAACAATTAGTTTGATGAGTGGAGAGGCACTGAAGGAAACAGCAGCAGCAACAGGAAGGGTTGTGCTGTGCGTCACCTCATACAGGAACACCCCTCCACGTTCTGGCCAGAGGAGATAAGGCAGATCCTGAGACCTTGGTGGTCAGCAAAGGACAGCTGATAACTTCTCAACCCTATATTTCTGCCTTCTTAAAAAGCTTCTCTCAAATTCAAACCCTCCCCAAAAGTGACATTTCCTTTGCTCCCAAAAGATTAAGGGATGCAAGTTGGATTTACAGTGACAGCTACTCTGCAGGCTCAGGGCACTATAAAACAAACATTTTGCACAATTGGCTTCCCACCAGGCTATAGCTGTTCCTCTGTCTCATTAGCCGCCTGCCACAGCCCAGCCACAGTTCCTGGTGCCAGCCCTGATTATCTTTGGCCCAGCAGAAAGAGTTGCTTTGACCTTACTAAACCTCTGCAATATTTTATCACGAATCTGGTAAGCAGCAGCTGGTTTTATGCGATAATTTAGTGAAGAAACCAATGGGAAACTGGTGGTTTAACACCATCTAGTATGTAACATAATTAGTCGCTTTCAGTCTGCATTGTTTTCTTTGCCACTGGATGTGGAGACTGATAACACGCAGCTAATGGCCTATTGTTTTCCTGATCTTATAATTCACAGGCCCTCCAAACCACGATCTGAGTGACTGTTCAAACGTTCATTTTGTGTACGGGTTCACCGCCAGGCTGGTATCCATGCACAGTCACACATATACAGCACTCTCAGTTCTCTTCAGCGCTGCAATAACTCGGGGAATCTGAGATTTAACTCCCCCGTGTCTCCCTCTTAGCCTACAGAACCACTGACCATTAATGAGAGGGCAGCTCTCCGCGGCTTTGTTCCTTTGATTAATGGGTCATGTTCTGGGACAGAGTCAATTGAATCAAAGTAGGTCTGCTTTATAGAGGGATCTCCGGGTCGGACTGGTGGCTCTGAATCCTGCGAAGGTATCTCTTCACTGTGTGTTGCTGTTGGTGATTTTGATTCAGTATTGTGGAGTTTCCGTCTAAAGGTACAAACTAGTTAAAGACTTTTTAATACCAACTTAAAAACAGATTTTAGACTAAACATACAAAAGAGAGACAGAAAAAGGTGAAATATCCTCTTTCAGATGTTCAGAATGAACAAGAAAGTATTTAGTCATATGTTTATTAATGTGACCAGAAAATGATATAACTGATGTTAGTATCCCATTGTCCCAAGTTTGAAACAGCTTAACAGATGTGGGAATAGCAATTTTGTCCTTAAAATTTCCAAAAACATAAGTGTCTAAAAATTATATGATTAACCATTAATTGTGAACCTTTTAAGACTTTGCATGATTCCATAGACACCCTGTGCATGGTTTCCAAAACATGGAGATTATATCCACAGCAGGTGGACTCAATTGCATCATTGCAACAGTTATTCAGGCTGAGAAAATGCGACAGTTTTTTATGCAGAGAGAAACATCAGGCGGTAACTTTCTGGAAAACCAAAACTGAAACTGGTATACAGATAGAGCTCATGACTTGGTAACTTTATAATTCAATTCAAACAATTCAAAGCATGGAATTGTTTTTGAGCCTACACTTAGGTTAAGTGGCCTGCTTGAAATTAGTTACTTACACTGTTGAAATGCTTTGAATTTCTTATGGTATTGCTCAACCGTGACAGACTGAGCATAACATGAGGGTGACTCACTTTTTAAACTTCGGTTCTGAGTGAAATGGTTGCCAGTGCCAAGTGATGGTTGGCAACGGCAGGCCAAAAGCAGTGCAGGTTAGATGATGCTGTTTGCCCGACATGTAAGGTTGCACGTCCACAGTAGCAATCTCCGCCTCTGAAATACTTGGCTTCACTACATACACACACAAGTACACAGTAACCACATACACGCACAAACATGGAGAGAAATTGGAAGAGAAAGACAACATGTTAGACCAGAGGTCATGATTGCCTCCTTTAAGAAGCCAAAAAAAGCTCCCACTCCCACATTACACATTTTTTTTTAAAATCAATTATGAGCAAATAAAAAAAGAATTCAAGATATTTTTTAGGGAAGCAGCATTCACCATGATAGGATCAGGAATTTCTCCTTTCATTATTTTTTTTCTGAATCGTATTCATTCAGCTTAGTTTTGCACCTTATGTTCACCCTGGCTGTCCACACCCCACTCTCTGTCCCACTGGGTTAGCTAAAAGAATCGACCGTACCGGCCCCGCCTGCTGTGGAATCTCAAAATGTCTCAAAAAGAAAGACAGTCTTGATGTGCAGCTATGAAAGGCGGGCCGTCGACATTAGCTCTCCTTTAGACTGTGTAGGGAGAAGAGTGGGGGGATGCCTGCCTAGCCCAGGGCTCTAGGTCAAAGAACAATCTCACCCCAGTCCATGCCTGGGTCACTGAGTCAACCATTTGTGCTGCAATGAACAACAGACAAAAATGCTTCTCCCACCTCGGGAGATGTACTTATCTCAGCACTATCTGAATTTTGGACAACAGAAATAGTTGTGTTGCATTCAGTGTCCCAGCTCATGCACACCTGCACATCACGTAGTAATCCAGAGCACTCTGACGACTGTAAACAACATATGAACAAGATTTAAAATAGTTCTCTAACTGGTGCCAGGATTTTCTCTCCACTTTGTTGTGTTTGTAAAAAAAAATTCATTCCAATAAATAAAAGTTTTGTGAAGTGGGCCGGTCAAGGATCATAAATAAAGTTTATAAGAGGCTAGAGGGGCCTGATTTTTACACTTTTTGGCACACTACTGGGATTCCTGAAAAATGTTTAAAGAATGCTACTTCACACTTAGCATGTGTTCCCGCCACATGCTAAGTGTGAAGTAAGGGATATACAGTCTCCTTTTTGTTCTTTATAGCAAGCAGACTCCATTCATGTATCTACTCAACATGCTAAAATATTTATATCCTAGTGTTGACACTTATCAGTATATTAAAAGAGTTGTCATAACAATGAATTGCAAGCTGATTTTTCTCCAGCTAAATACATAATGTATAGAACATGCTGGTTATATGAGCCGTACTGTATGCACACAGGGTGTAAGGATTGGAGGGGTCTGGGGCAGCTGGAGCCCGTGTGCAGAATAGAACTCGGGCCTTTTACACAGTCCACCAAGCCCCTTTCAAAGAGCCCCAATAATCAACAACAGCTGCTCCTGCTACGTCATTCCAGCCCTGGAATCAACAAGCTCCCAAGTTCCTCTCACACTAGAGCTGCTACCTGCCGTCCAGTGATCTAGACTGAGAGCAGCAGCAGACGTGCTGGGGGCAGCCTCTGTCCACAGCCAAGGCGCTGCTTCATTTCGTCAGGATCAGTGAAGATTATCAGGTTTGTGGTAATGGCTTACCTGTGACTTCCAGAACGTAGCTGAGATTCCTGTACAGCCCCTTTGCTCTGTTGCCCAGGCTTATGGTGAACACGCCAGAATTCTTCTCCTGCACATCAGTGATGGCCAAGCTAAAATCAGACATCCTGTAGCAAGTGGAATTCTTCTGGATAGGAACCCCATCCTTGTACCTGAATATTAGAGGCACATAAAAGTTTGTTTGTTGTGCATATGCAATAATAGAGGTGCCCAACACTCATAACAAAAGGTTTATTTATAGTGGCTCGAAACCATTGCCTACCATGCTATCACGTCTGGTGGTGGCAAAGCGATGACCCTGGGTTCAAACACAATCTTCCTTACACCTTCAGTGACTGTTCTATGCTGTCCATTCTTAGAGGAAATGTTAAGAAATGGATGCTCTGCAGCCAAAGAGTATAGATTAAATAAGGTTATCATTATTACTTTACAGGATCGCCCCAATATTACAATAATTCACAGCCTAAAATTCTTTTAATTTCACTTGTAATAATAAAGCATTAAAAGCATTCTCACCATAGACAACAACTTTTGCCGTGACAGTATCATTTACTCTGGGATTCAGCTCAGCTTTGCAATGATAGATTCCCTTATCCTCCATGGTAATGTTTGGCAACACTAAAGTGTTACTCATTATAAGGACCTTAGAAGGTTTGAGTAGGGACTTGATTATACTATGCCGTTTTTCCTGAAGACAAAGAAAGCACCATAAATTCCAGTCCTACTTATGCAGGCTGTTCCATAATATTGTAAAGTCAATGATAAACCATTAACTTACTTTGTCCTTTGGAAAATGCCAGGTGAAATTGATTCTTCCATTATAGGTGGTCTCCCCACTACAGTTGAGGATGAGGGTGTCTCCAGCCAAGATTTTAACACGGTTGTTATCTGGAGTAATCCTCACATTTTTAAGGACATCAGCTGTAAAATTGGAACAAACATAATGAAATGTTATGAAACCTTAAACAATCAGAAAGTTAAAAACAATTAAAAGTCATGTCACCAGGAAAGCAACAGACTCACTCAGTCTACTTGGAAGGTATTCTGACTTGAACACTTGACTGTTGACTTTGGCATGACATGCCAGCATGTTGTATGAATCGTAGGCACCGTAGGGGATCCTGAACCCAACCATTGGATCCCACACCATTTCCTTTGTAACCTTCTCAGTTAAACTTGGCGCCTGTAATGAAAAAGGCAAAACTAATTTGATGACACTTGTGATGCCAAATATAGGTCACTGAGCCAGACTGACTAAAGAGGAAGCTGCATGACTTCATTTAACACGTAACTCATGCTCCACCGGGCTCAGCTGGGGACACATCTGTTAAGCTGTTTTATAACACATGCATGACAGCCCTGAACTTTTCTAGACATTACCAGAAGGAGATGAATGTAGAAGAACGTAAATGTCCAGTGCAATCAGATATGACATTAAGCAGTGTTAATGAGAGCTCCAGGGTACAAAGTCTGTGTGATGTTTTGCACCTGCTTAATAGCACAGGTAACAGTGCAGTGAACTGTCAGTCATGTATCCTGCCGTTTTAACCAGTATTCCCAGTAACAAGCACTGTGAATGTGACTGCTGCATTAATTTATGCAATTAGGGAAATAACATTTGGAAAGGATGTCCTTGCCTGCTGCTGTTTGTTCTCATGTCAGAAGAAGGACTGGGATTGGAGGCAATGGAAGAGAAGGAAGGAAGGTGAAGAGGAAGGAGGAGTGTCATGCATTTATTAATAACAGGAAGGTCACACCAGTACTATCTGTGGCATTAGAGTCAGAAGTGATTATGCACAGTTGGCACTATGACACAGTCATATATTAATCGCAAACAATGAAACAAAATGTCACAAAAAAGCACAAAAAGGCCACAAAGGCACATCATCAAGTACTAACAGGGTCTTAAGTTGTATAGATAAGTGCACTGGAAAACAAGGGAGTACTCAACCGCTGCCTACTAAGATCAAACAGTCTTATGCTGTTACCTGTTGTTTTCTAAGACTGGACACAACTTTTCTGCTGTTTCCTGATGTTTGTAAGAGCAGAGAGACTAAATTTAGCCTGATGATCTATTCTGAGAAAAGCACTCTTGGAACACCTTCCTGCTCTTAGAGGAAGCAGACAGGATGACTCGCTTTGCCGCCCCTGAGCTTCCCATAGCTAAGCCACTGTCCCCGGTCTGCTTCTGTGTGCTAGAATGATTTAACACACAGAGGGTGTGAGAACCACTGTGATGCCCTATGCAAGGAGTGGAAGGACATTTTTTTCAAAACAGGTAAGGATACCCTGCTGTGGTATTAATAGTAATCTTCTCTCAGGAGACGTGCTGTGTGAGTTTCCTGGAAGTTCATGTTAAGCAGTGTCTATAGAATACTGTGTATTACTATAATATGCAGTACTATGAAGGCATTTATAAAAGCATGATGGTGCTTAAGACCCTACCCCTGTCAGTGTTACATCAATATCAGGTGAGGATGTCCGACACGGGACAACAAGGCTGGTCTCGTGCCTGTAGATGCCAAGAACATAATTTTTAACAGGCTCCACAAATGGCTGGTCGGGATCTGAAAAAAAGAATTCAACATCTTAAACACAAGTCAGGCAGAAACACCATTTCAAATTAAATGTGGCCCATCACAAGTTGTTTTTTGGGGAAACCATGTTTTCTAGTAAAATTATTCAGATTCTGGTAAAATAAGCCAACTTAATTTAAAAGTGCAGTGGTTAGCATTGTTGCATCACAGCAGGAGGATAATGGGTTCATAGCTGCCAGCTGGCTGTGATCCTCCAGTGTGGTTTGTGCATATTTTGTTTTAGAAGTTCATGTGTTTTCTCCCAGTCTCTGGCTCTCTGTCACTGTGATTCACTTGCAACATAACCAGGGTGTACCCCACCCCTTACGTCTGCTGAGACAGGCTCCAGAACCTTTGACCCACTAGGAAAAGGAGGTTTACCAAGTGAAAAAGAGCATGTCAGGGTATTCAACAGAGATCCAGAAAAGAGATCAAATCTCAGATTGGTTAATTCTGGCCATATAAGGACAGTCAGTCTGTGGGAACGCTGTGGCTACATAAATAGTCTGTGATTGAAGGAAGGTCGAACATTAGTGGTGTGAAAAAGTTACAAAAATTAACAAACAGCTGAAGATTTTTGAAATAGGACACAGAAGGTAAACTGTGGAAGTCATTTAAAAAGCACAAGAAGAATTAAAGCTAGCTTTATATTTATAATAGTTGTAGACCAATATTAAGCAACTTTATACCAACATTTTTCAAAATATAAAACCACTTTGGTCACATTGGCTGATATTGGAATTTACTCTCTGCTTCCCAGTACAATATCCAGTCATATAAGTGTATGTAGTGCCATGTGAGGTTTAGGGAAGCGTTGTTACAAGGAAAACAGTAGCAGAAGCAGGAAATGGTCAATGACCAGGGTTTCCCGAGCAATTAGCTTATCCTCTCACCTCCAGAAGAGGTGAGAGGATAAGCGGCACCACAGAAACCACTTCCTTTCTCTATTTTTTTCTCTCAGATGGAGACCTGTGGCACCTCAGTCAGGATTCCAGTTGAAAAAAAGGTAGCAATAACCGCCTCTATATTTATATCTAATGCATACAACTACAGATTTTAGTAAGCAGGTCTTGCTTGCTTTCTTTTTTGCACATTCTTCCCATGTCATTAAAAAAATCCTGCCTTTTGGAGCTGACATAGTGAAAAAGGTAGGGTACACCCTGAACACCATGGTCCTTTACATCCTTCTGCCTAACTCACTCTTTCTTCCTTCTATAAAGGATGTGTCTTGTGTCTTATGTCTTGCAAATACCACACTGTTCTTTGTCAGTTCAATACTGTCAATATCACCGTCTGTGAGATCAGTTCAATATTAAATCCTGCAGCTGCCATCAGGAGATAACAATTATCCTTTGAAATCTTTTTTTAAACACAAATCTTCCGTGCATTTTAAATTTCTGAATGAAAAAAAAAACATTTGGTTCAAAATGTAAGAACAATTTTCAGTTTTAGAGTTCAGTTTTTCTACCATTGGGTAATTTCTTAAATTATGAACCTCATAATTTGAGCATTATACATCCAAAACGGTTTCTAGCTCTCACCTTTTACATACACATAGGTGGATTTGATTTGGTCTGAACCATCCTTGGTGTATTTACAGGTGTAAGTCCCAGTGTCATTGGCAATCAGGTGTGTGACTATCAGTCTGCTGCAGTGAGACTGACGGTGAGGTCTTGAATCACACTTCTCCACCTTCACTCCCTGCGATGAGATCGACCGCTTGGCAAGTGTCCAGCTGAAGACACCGTGACCTCTGACATTATTGAAAATGAGAGAGAATGTTAAATGAGATTAGATCTTGGGCGAGGCAAATGGTATTAGAAAAAGCAAACCATTAATTCTATTAAAAGTGGATCTATTTTTAGAGAAGGTGTCACATCTGGCAGTAACCACAAAAGCTACTAAATTTAGTAGCTTATCTCTGGGGGCTTTTGGGCTTCATTTCCATTTTAAGTTTATTTCAAGTTCATCTTGAGTCATCCAAAAGTTTGAACTTTCACATGGGAACATGTTTCTCTTCAATGATGTGCTTAACTAACACATTCTTTCCACGCAGAATTCAGTTTAAAATGCTCATTAAAGAGATCCCAGAGGAACATCTAGCATTTCTCACATTCCTTTCCCTTTGCCTGCAGAATTTTGGGTCAAGCAGAACCTCTAGTTCTCATCCACATCCAAAAAACAAGACAGTGCTCTACGCATCAGGCTTCTTACAATGTGGCCTTGTAAGGAAGCATTACATTAAACCAACATGAGTTCCTAAGCATTCTTTGAAGGCCTAAAAAATGATGCAATACCCTAAATTCCTAAGAAATGTGAATGTACTTGGGTTCTAAATTCCATAAAGGAAGTGGCAGAAGACTGATAAACGTTGACCACTATCGCTGGTTCCGGTCAGGGACTGTCCCAGCTTCTTTGTAGCTAGTAAGAGTCCACAGAACCAGGGACGTCCTGTTAATTCTCCCTTAAAATTTCTGCCATATAGTGAGCGCAGAGTCTGAAGTCCAGCAATTAGAAGAGCAAAGGTAAAGTAAATGAAGTTGTATTGTAATGCAAAGTGGTTAAGAAGAGTTATACACCACCATCATAAATGTTTGATTACATTTCAAGTGAAACCAACAAAAGTAGGTGCTTTCAACTGCATACCTGCAGGTGAGGTTTAACAAATTGCCTTTATGAAGAACGATTGGATTGTCGGAGGGATGAATCCTAGGCGAGTTTGCGCTCTCCAAATGTCCTGCAAAACACACACACACACAGACATTTACACCAACTCTTCAGTGGTATGTTTTCATCATTGTTATGCTAAACAAAATGAAAAGCACAGCGGGAAGTCCCCATTGCACAACTGCTGTGTAATGTGCCTTTAGTGCTGTGCGCGTGGGTTCACTTTGTCCAGTTCTACTCCTGCCTCTTGTGTAAGTGATTGTCCACTGAGAGCACACTGTGGGGACTTTTGGGAGCTGGAGAGCAGGTTGTTGAATGGATCGGGGTCCTAGGTGATCAAAGATAGAATAAAGGGAGGAAGAGGATGATACATGGAGCAGCTGTGCCTCGATGCCAAAAAGGTCAACACAGTCCGATTTAGCAGGAACCAAATACTTTTTTTTGTTCATTTACTAGTGACTTTTTACTCTGAATGCTGTGCTTATAATATCAAGAGGGTGGAGATGTTTGATTCAGAGGTGGACATATCTCGTGTGGAGCCAGCAGAATCTGTTGAGAGGTCTCTCTAACAACAGTTAACATAGGAAACAGTGTAGTTCTGCCTGCTGTCCAGAAAGAGTCCCAGTCCCAGATGTTGTTTCTTTCTTTTCACTAAGATCCCTAAACAGCCTGTCACTGTGGACACAAAACAAGTATATTAAGTTTACCCTTGATCTGTTGTTAAGGATAATGTTGGTTTATGTGTTTGATGCATATACTGGCTTAAGGGGCGATAATGGCCTATTTTATGTGTTACCCACACACCTGGAAACCTGCATTTACACACAGAAATACAGAAAAACAATCACTCACACACGTTCTCCTAGCATTTGTGTATTATTCAGAACAGCTGTTGTGGCAAGAATGAGCTGACGCTGCCAGTGTTGGCAGGGGGACTCAATATTCACTTCCTCACAAAATGTTATAACATCATTGTTTTATTGTCCAAGGTTAAGCAGAGGGGAAGGGTTGTGGCTTGCACTCTTTCATGTCGTAAAACCACACACTTTTGGCTGCATGTGAACACAAATCAAGAGCCCTGGCCTCAATAAACAACCACATAAGCTGCAGTTCATAATTGTATGGCTTTTATTTATAGCTGCCAGACAAATTTCTTAAGGGCATTCTACTTTGCATTTTTTATGCCTTGATACATAACAAGAAACAAGAATACCATCAATCGCAATGTAATCAATCAAAGACAAATAAAACAAATATAAACAAACCCACTATGTATCATGTTTTTTCAGCCATACTTATTACTGCCTTGACACATGCTCATGAATTCAGGTAAGAAAATCCCATAAAGTTGACTCAGTTCATCTAGATGCAGCGTTTTCAGTGGGAGAAATGCTTCATTACTAAGTCAACTGACTTCTTCAGTCTCAGCTGACAATAGGTTTCTTCCAGTTTCAAAATGTCCAAAATTAGCACCACTATGTGACAAGTTCATGGCTGTCAGGAATCTGCAACACAGAGGTAGTACTATCCCCACTGTAGTCAGGGAATTCCCTGAGTAAATGCAATTATTGCACCTGGACATTTGTCAGAGGTGATCCAGGACAGAAGAACAACCACTGCCATCTTTCACAGACTTATAATGCTTATAATGCAACTTTCTGTGAAACGTGCTCACCCATATGGAAAAGATATATATAAATCTTATAAAATTTGTATCTGTCTTGTGTGAAACTTGTATGAAAAGCATATAAGAGTGAAAACAGATACAAGATCCCTTGAAAAATTATATAATGAAACTTGTATGTTTTGGATACTTACTAAAACAATATATGAAAGTAATGAGAAAGTGGCCACTTTCATGAGTAAGTCATGTAAGCCTTACATGACTTACTCATGAAAGTGGCCACTTTCATGAAAGTGGCCACTTTCATGAGTAATCACATATAAGTTTTTACTATTTCTTTTCCATATGGGCATGTCCATTGTCCAGAGGTCATGACAATGAACAATAACGAAACTGAGCTTCTGGGCTATTGTTAGGCAATGGTGCCAGTTTCGGTCATTATGCAACTATACTGCATATACTGCACTGTTGTTATGCATAACCTGCCAAGAAATGTAACTGCACATTGAATCAATGCAGGCTACAAATATTGTGATTGGTCTGATCATTACCGTTAAGTCCTCCTGTGCCTTTGCAGTTATTAAAAAAAAAAAAAAAGATCAGTGAGAGAAGAACAATCATTGGCTTAAGATGAGGACTTAAAATCGCTGAAAATTCCTGGAAAGAGCTTGCTAAACCTATTGGAAATTCCAATGAGGGAATTTCCAAAGAAGTGGAAAAACCTGGGGGACAAATATGCTTGCCACCTCCCAAAAATGACCACAACAAAGAGTCAACATTTTGTTTCTATCAGCTGGCATGCATATAAAAAGGCAGGACACAACCACATAATAATGAACACATATGCACCTCCACAAGCATAAGTGCCAGCAACATCGGCCACTTGCGTCGGTTGTGTCGAAGGCTCACCGCAAAGGTTCACCGCAAAAGTCTAAATCAGGGCAGAGACTGAAGACTTGGATGAGTAATGAGACGTTTTACCCCAATGAAAACACTTCGTCCAGATTAAAAGAGTCCACTGAGACTAATTATGGCATTTTCAACTTCTTGAATCTTTGACTCGGTTACAAATACATCCCATGCATAAATGCTTAAGTCCCACAGCATACCCAGAATCATCATCTTGACCTTGAATTGCACGGGCAAAACGCTTATCTTTTAAAACTAGCACATTTTTTATGTCCTTCTCTTCAGTAATGCACTACAGATGGGTGAACCAGCAGGGGCCCCCAGCAGCCCATTAAAAAAAGACAAGAGAAGAGAGGAAAAAAACATTGTCTTGTCTACACACCCATCCTCAAAACTCCCATCTGCCCAGAACTGACCTTAGCTGGCATCCTGACAACCCTAACCCCCTGCAACAGCTGTGCCCTGCGTTCCTTCAGGAGATCGCCTGAAAAATGCCAGAAATTGTTCATATTGAGTTGGTTCAAAGAGCCCCAAAGCTGGTTCTCATTAAAAGGCATTACAAAGAGGACAGGCATGGAACAAACAGAGAGGGAGTCAGGGATTCGAGAGGCCGACTGACTTCTGCTTTTTTCACTTGCATGATCTCAATTGACTCACACAGCATCAAGCTGGTTGCTGACACAGAGCCATGTTAGCTAAGATTAGACCAGAATCACATTTTTGTGTCTTTGTCCTCGGTTGGCATTGATTAGAGGAAATGGCACAGGACACTGTGTTTGGAAAAGACAAATGGTCAGGAAATACAGACAAAAATTTTGAACAGCATGGATTTCAGGATTTTTTCAATAGAAATGTCTGTGGTCAAGAAAATAATTAAATATTTAGTCTGGAAGAACGGCCAAACAATGGCTGAGACTGAGACTAAATGATTCAGATTTTCAGCATTGCAATGGAAAATAATGGCCTATGTATGCTCTGCTTAGCCATATTTTGTCAAAGGATCTTGAATAATACTTGTTAGTTATGTTCCTGACCTGAGAGAAAGCATATACTCTTTGTGTTTAAGAAGATACTTTGAGCACAACTCCTAAAAAAATTCAGTGACTACAAACACCTTAAAACACTACATAACTACAAATTAAAAAAAAAATACATAAAGCTAAATAGAAAAGTGATATAAATGCCACCAGCATGCTGCCAGTAGCTCATTGGTGATGTTGTGTAATAATTAAAAAAAAAAATTACTGTATCAGATGACTGTACTGTCACTGAACCGAAAAGGAAACTCCAAGTCACGGCCCCTAAAGCGCAAGGAATAATGTGCGGAATTCCCTTCTCTTTTGCAGAGGGCACACTTCACCTCCCTGTACTTCCCCTCCCATCATCAGACGGCACGAATGTCTTGAGAGTCGAGGAAGAAAATCATTTTTGGGAATAGGGCCCAACGATTCCTTTGCGTATCATTGCCACTTTATCCTTTGCTCTTCTGCTGTCACAAAATTAGATGGGGGGAGAAGTGAGAATTACGAAGTAAATGAGCCAGCTTTGCTGTACTGTGACCTTGACGATGGACTGAAACAATAGTGAACAGTCTCTGCGATGAGATTTCACGATAGCGCACTGGTAGTTTATGTAAACAAACGTACTACACACTAACTTATTTTTATATTTTCTCTCAATTATATGTTAAAAGTACTTTAAATGGTATATGATACTACTCTGTCATCTGCTATGAAGCCAGACTAAAAGGCTAAACCTGATCAATATCCAAACAAAAAGTGGAAGGGGGAGAGGACGGATTTACCGCTAGAGTACATGAGTCAGCTTTGCCATACTGTGACCCTGGCAAACAGAGTGAAACAGTAGTGAATAGTCTGTCATGGATAGTGCTATGGTAGCTATTGTAAAACAAATGCAATACACCACTCACTATAACCCGTTTTTGCATTTTCTCTCAACAATATACTGAAATTACCTTCCAGGGGGATACGATCCTACTGTCATCTGTTAAGAAGCTAGACTTAAAAGCTAAGCTTGATCTGTATCCTTCAAATCTGAGTTTGGGCGGTCTAAACATTGCACCTTCTCGGGGTCACGCTGCTGTCCTGCTGCAAAAGTGTCCGTGACAGTTCACTGCAAGTTAGACTGACAAAATATTCAAGACAAACTTTATCAAACCTTTGACAAGACTTGACCACCTGCCATAATAAGAACCAGCTAACAGCGCTCTGGCTGTGCTACTTGTGTCCTGGAACATTCTCACATGCAGAGTCCTACAAAAACCCTACACTTTGCCAACTGCAAGGTTAAGACAACAGTTACAGAGAAAGCCTTTTTTATTAGCCGTGTATAAGCCTTTAGAGGTTTGGAGGCAAAATGCCCCAGACTCCTCTAAAAAAAACAAAAAAAAAAACAAAATAAAGGAACATCTGGCCGTGATGGGCGGCCACTCTAGGTTATATGAAGCTGTGTAGAGCCAACAAAGAGGGTTCTCCTGCATGAGACTCCTAAATAGTAAACCCAGAGGATTCCTGTTTTATAATGTATGATTAAGACTAAGAGGCAGACAGAAGCTCCTTGAAATCGAAATCCCATGCAGGATTCAAAGAAAATATATTGCTGGTTCGAGGTGGATAGGTCTAGCATGGAACAGATGCTGGAATAATCCAGAAAAGCAACACAGTTCAATTTGTAAAGCTGAATTTCCCAGTGTAGGGGAATGACGTTTTCTGCTCTGCTGGTAAATCTCCCACTCCAGGTTAGTGTGTTTGTGTGTTTAGGATGTGTTTTTCTTGTGCTGCCTGCATGGAGCCAGATGTACTGCCAGTGAGCAATGAGCCCCCACTGCACTTGGCTGACACGTCATCACTCCCATTTTCCAGTCTTCAAGTGTCCACGCAGGAAACAAAAAAATACTCTGGACACAACATCAACCCCTCTCATCACAAGACTGTCTACACTGCAGGAAAAAGAAAGAACTGACAAAGAGAGTGTTGTATATGATAAGCAACAATAAAAGGACAGCTTCCACTTTCCATTTCACCCATCTCCTTAGTCACTGATGTGTCAGTTATAACTTTCATGGCAATTTTCTTTCCTAAACTCAGGGGTGTCATCTGACTAAATGTAACTCAGAACCCAGAATAAAAGAATCAGTCCAACACAAGTGATCATTTCAATTATATATATATCATTACATTTAAAGGAAAACTCCATTGTATGAGTATTCCTACAGGCATCATATCTCAAGTGACATCCAGAAGGGTCCACTGAAAAAAGATTATCTTGCTGACATTTGTGTGAGCTGTTGCGCTTCAGTTAAATTGGTGTCAAAAGGTCAGAACGAACATATGTAACCTGTGCTCATTTTGAATAAGAAGCAGCTGCAAGTCAAAAATTAAGAAATCAGCAAATACAGTTTTTTTTCCCTTTTCACTCTAAGCCATCTTTAAAATTACTGGGATATAGGTGGCTGTTGTGTAACAATAACCCAGTCGAATGCTTGCGCATCACTCAGTGACTTATAACTTTGCTTAGTTAACGATGACACCGTGACATTCTCACAACTTTTCACCAGAAAAAAACATCTTACACATCTCTGAATAAACAGAGACACCTTGACGACCATCAGTAACTAATGTCTCTACCAGTCAGTGGCTCCTGTACTGAAACAATAGCCCCTTTCCTCCTTGCTATTGTCTTGTGGATGAAGTTTGACATAGTTGAACGTGAGCACAAGGAGCTCCGGGAAGAAATTTTTGCTCAGGTAGCGTGTCACATTTCCGTGACCTTTACTAGCCAGAACAATTCCAGGCTGCCTCTCTTGTCCCTACATCCGCTTCCTCCTCTTTGCGTCTTTCCCACGCTTTGTGAGTGGACAGTGAAGGAAACCTACTCAAAAAAACAGTGTGTGTGTGTGTTCAGTAAAAGAGGTTGAATGTGAACACTATTTCCTTTGTTTGGATGGGCTGTTTATTTTGAAGTGGTGAGGAAGCCTCAGTTTGTATCTCTGTTACACACTGGACTGGACCTGGCACAAGGTGAAGGAACATGCCAGATTTACTCAGGTTTTGTGGCGTGAGACTGAGACAATGGAGTTGACAGGACTGTCAGATAAAACATGACACAATGTTTAATCCTGTCCACGCACACATACCAATTGCAGGAACCTTTCCTTTCATAATTTATAACAAAGTACTGACATGCAAAATATTCAAAGTATCTAAGAAAGCACACAAAAATAGACCATTCTGACAGACCATTTACTCATCTCAGTAAATCCAGTCATATTAAAATATAGAGCCCGACTAATCGCCTGTTATGGATCAACGCATTTTACCGTACTAACAATCTCCCAATGACAGACGACCTCTAGGGGCTTGTGTGAAAATTGCAAACTCAATAGCAGAATGATGATTTTTTTTTCTGTTGGCGCATGATCTTCGAAAATGTGCAAATAATCTGCGGTCATATCCATACACAGAAATCATTTTACACCGCAGCTGGGATCAAAGAATAACCCGCCAACAAAATCAGCTCTTGGTTGCAGGTCAATTAAACACCGGAGAAATTTAAATTACTATAAAAAAGAAAAAGAAAAATAATGCTAAAAAAATTTATTGTAAAAATTGGCAGCTCAGGTGGCAGAGCAGGTCAGCCAGTAATCAGAAGATCGGTGGTTCGATCCCAGGCTGCCTCCTAGCTGCATGCCAAATATCCTTGGGCAAGATACTAACCCCATGTTTGCCTACTGGTGGTGGTCAGAGGGCCCGGTGGCGCCAGTGTCCGGCAGCCTCGCCTCTGTCAGTGCGCCCCAGGGCAGCTGTGGCTACAACGTAGCTTGCCATCGCCAGTGTGTGAATGGGTGAATGACTGAATGTAGTGTAGCGCTTTGGGGTCCTTAGGGACTAGAAAAGCGCTATACAAATGCAGGCCATTTACCATATCTCGTGTTTTTAAATATTATGCAATCAGTCTTTCATTCACTGAAGGGAATTAACAATCAATCAGAAAGTCTGTTCTTTCACTCGTAAATATATAGTGTATGTAAACATGAATGACTCACCTAATGTTAGAGATAAAAAACACAAGATGACTGCGACCCGGTTGAAGCAGTCAGGTGGTGCCATGCTGCGAACTTCCCCAAAGTGCAAACCTTGTGATAAAAATAAATGCAATCGAGTCCCTGTTTGTCTCTTTAAATTCCGGCTGACTGCGAGTCTTAATTGGCCTATAAAACGCCTTTCATGAATCCCCAAAAGGTTCAGGTGCGCAAGGACAAAGCAGCAGTAATTTCCCCATATGCCTGCACGCGATTCGCGGGGGAGCTCTCCTGCGCTGCTCGGCAGTCCAACTCCCGGCACCGGCGCACTATCCTCTGGGCAGGTGCAAAAGTAGTAAAAGGAGAAAAAAAAAGTTAAATAAAGGAAATTAAATCGGCGGTAAAAAATAAAAAAGTTGAAGTGAAAAGTACTTCAGCTCTGGTGCTGTGTTTGGACTCAAGAACGAGATGAATGAGCTCCTGCGCCTTGTACCCACTGTATCTCCTCCCTATCGCCTCTGTGCAACACTTACAGTGCCGTCCAGACGTGACACGTTTAATGGAGCCACACACAGACGGAGGACGCGACGTCACTTTTGTTGAGGAGGGGGAGGATGGGGGAGGAGGGGACGACTTCTTGATTTTAGCTACTGAGGGGGAACAGTAAGTCATTGTTCTGAGTTATTCCCACTATAACTGTGCAGGGGGGAAAAAAGATGGAACAGAAACGCAGTCATTGCACGTATCTTATCATTTAGGAAACTCCACTCAGTTTTTCATACCTGGTAGAAGCTCCCTTAGACACTAGAGATACTGAGCTACCTTAGAGTCTTAATGAGTATGTTTTCAAATTAAATTCACAAACCTATAAAGGGAGTTCTTCAATCACCTATTAGTAGGGAGCAGATGCTCTTCAGAAGCATAAACCGTCTCAATTTCTTTCTGAAATAAAATCTTCTGGTGCACGAAGTCTCTTATCTTTGACTTTTTATCCACTATCACACTGTACTCTCTTAGTGTTAAGGAATTTTCCACATCCCAACTGCCATAACTGAAAGGCTGTTGTGCCCAAATGTTGTTGATTAAAAGCAGTCTGCTTTAGTTAAAGCTCTTGTTAACATTGATTCATTACATATTTTTGCAATTTTTAATTATAAAATAAATTAGCACGCTATGTATTTATTTACTTAACTGACCTTTGTGTGCAACACTGATAAAAATCAACCTGTGTACCTGAGGTTAAAGGTAATTGCATTTATCTTGACTGGAGAGAAAAACAAAACAATGCAGTGCAAACAATCACTGTGATATCAGCTTGAATCTATCTGCCCAGGTTTGCAGAATAAACATTTGTTGGATTTATTTTTAACGTCAGAAACAGGATGCACTTCTTTTTATATCAATGTAAATAATCTTCTTTTGTCCGGCCGTACCCTGCAGTGTGTGGATATGCTGCAGACTGTTTTCTTTTTATCACAACAACAATCACTTTGCTGTTGCAGGTCATACTAGCAGGCATTGTAAATAAGAACATCCTGCCCTCACCTTTCCGCCCACAACAGGAATCCACAGCTACCATTTTGGCTCTGGATCGGAAGTAGTGTTGTGTGCTAAAGGTGATACACGAGGCAAATTGAAATGTAATGTAAACCAATTTTCCGACCTATAGCAGGAGAACTGTGATGTGGCACATGAGAGCATGGGAAACTTGGCCATTCCAATGCTGGTAATCCTTATGTTAACTGGGAGTTTGAGACCACACTGTCACAACTAAAGAATTCAGCAATTTCCTGCCCACTATCAGTACTTTAAGTCACAAACAGCCAAAGAAAGAGAAGCTACAGACAAGTTATTGCTCTCTCTCGTGATTTCTTTCGAAAAGGAAACATCATATTGAAGGCTGCACTGATTTATTTCTACCAATTTTTAGATTATGACTGTGGGAATTTCACTTTGGGAAATTTGGGAAGCAAGAATTGAACATTTTATTATTAGATGATAAACTATTAGCTCATGCATTGTAAGAGAGCAATAACTTGTAAAGTGTATAAAATTGCAACTCTAATTTTCTTAGTTTGTTTCCATATTTAAGCTTTTAAAAAGGGAGACATTCCCTTTGGGCTAGCAGTGCAACAGATAAGTCTCCTGATGAACAATTGCTGGAAGTTACAAGCTGAGAGGGGTGGATTTAAAATGATTTATTTTGGAAGCTGGTGCTCAAACAGACTGTGGGGGACTAACTGGTTGTACACACACCGCATGCAGTCTTCCTTTTGTTCGTCTTGGGTAAATGAACCAGAAGAAATGTCCTTTCTGAGGAGAGTAGTAGACAGCGTCTGACTGCATGCTCCGTCAAGTGACTGTACTCTGACATGAATGCAAGTAGTGCCAGCATTTCTAGACTTCAGACTGAGGGTGTGAAGGCAAAATTAGAAGTACAAGTTGATGAAAACTTGCTTAGTTACACTTTTCTAGTACTGTACCGGACCCCCTCCCCCCTCCTCCTACATTCAGAACAGTTTTAATTCTTTATGGCATAGATTCAGCAAGATGCTGGAAATATTCCTCAGAGATCCTGGTCCATATTGACATGATAGCAGATTTGTAAGTTGCACATCCAAGACGGAAATCTCCCAATACACCACATTTCAAAGATGCTCTATTGGATTACGATCTGGTGACTGTGAAGGCCATCTGAGTGAACTAATTGTTATGTTCAAGACACCAGTTTGTGATAATAGGAACATTGTAAAATTGTGTGTTGTCAGCTGGAAGTAGCCATCGCAGGATGGGTAGTAATAAAGAGATGGCCCACACCAGTATACCACCACTATCATCATCAGTTTTTGATACAAGCCAGGATGGATCTATGCGTTAATGTTTATATGAAATTCTGGCCCTACCATCTGAATCGCTCAGCTGAAATCAGGACTCATCAGACCAGGCAACTTTTTCCAGTCTTCTCTCTAATTTTGGTGAGCCTCTGCGAATAGTATCCTCAAGCTCCTGTTCTTAGCAGACACAAGTAGTGCCAAGCATGGTTGTTTGTTACATCTTCTTCAAGGCTGGATATGTTGTGAATTCAGAGATGCTTGTCTGTATACCTTGATTCTAACGAGTAGTTACTTGATTTAATAATCATAGTTACCTGATTCTCATTTACACAGGTTACGTAAATGCTTTAAGTTACTGCCATATAAATGGCCCATTAGATATTTGTGTAATCCGAAGCAGAACCTAATGAAGTGGCCAGGTAGTGTGTTATACTATGTTAGCAAAACTAATACTTGCATAAATTTGTAATTTTTAAGTCCTGGACAGAAGTTTGCAGAAGTCAGAGGATTTTTGGAAACTGTGTTACTGTATTAGGATCAGTAACACAGTTTCCATCTAGTTTAGCTCCATCTAGTGTTGATTGGAAAAAAAGGACAGGACTGGGAAAGGCTACATCTATAGCCATATTTTTTTTTCTCTTAATGGGAAGCAAAAATGGTTTAATAAATATATTGATAGAATTTATGGATTAAGTGGGTTTTGTTGACTTCACACACCAAATGAACACTATTTTATTTATTCTGAACATTTGCCCTTCCAAGTATTCCATGCTACTGGTTTAAAAAGTGGGTACCTGCTTTCCTTTTAATAGAAAGTATTATTATTCCTCTGTTTTCTGCTCCCTTTAAGAAGTCACCACAGCTGACAATCTCCCTCAATCTCAACTTATCCCTACCATGCTCTTATGTCACCCTCTGCATATCCTTCTTCAGTGCATGCATGAATCTTCCTTGTGGTCCTCTTGTTTCATACTTAACAACCTTTGCACACCTAAACAATCTTGCATTAAACACATAGCCCCGTGAAAAAGAAAGCAACCCCCTCCAGCAGCTAAATATGTTCACCTGGCCTCCAAACTCCCCAGCTAATAATCAAGAATCCCTGGGATATGCCGTAATAACCCTGATCCACACAGACCCCACCCTGCAACACGCAGGATCCAATTTCCCATTGCCAGACACTACAGGATGCCCCCACAGTTCCCTTGTTCACACTCCAATGGGTCAGAAGTGTTCAGGCAGCATAACAGCGGTCCTATACAATATTTTGCAGATGGTTTTACAGCCATGTTGTGATTTCTTGGTATTCCTGTAGTAACTTCTTGAGCTAAATACAATATACTCCCCTAACAGAGACATATGGAAACTTAGGCTTTCATCTTTTTCTTTGATTTGAATTGCGTGCATACATATAAAAATAGGAATATTTCAACTTTTAGAGAGAAAACATTCACTTCAATGAGGAGACTAAAATATCTAAGTGAGATGTCAGTGTTTCATTATGTCATAGTGCTTTTGCCTACCTTGGTACCTTTGAGTATCAAAAAGGTATGAATAAGGGTGGAAGTTTGATTTGGGAAAGTGATGAATCTGTCAGAGGGCACTTTGTTCTTTACACCTGTAAATGGCAGTAAAATGGGAGTCTTTTTAATACTATTATTAATGTTTTGTGTGATTTGAAAAAGAATCATAATTCAAGTTGAAAATTGAAAAAGCCTTACCTGATCTCCTCTTTCTGCTTAGCTCTGATGCCCCCTCTTTTCCTGATACCTGTTGCCAGAAAGAAACCGGAAAGTTTTATGTACTGTGACTTACAACTAGATTTTTGGTTTTACACATAAGATAAATTGTTTTGTAACCATAATATCAGAAGGAGTTGGCGAGATAATATTACAGTTGCATGTCCGTCTATGATACCTATGATATTCTGACTATGATACCTGTATTAACAACCACAAGTAGAGACACCTGTACACTGAAAAACAGAACAGGTCTCTGTTCATGCATTTAGAATTACTAATAAAAAAGATGGATGTGCTTTTGTGGTAACATTACAACTTACAGTCCAAATACCAATTGACTATTTTTTTATTTGTTGCCTGGCAAGCTCTCTTTTTCTGTGTTATCCTGATGTCTATATCTAAAACAAATAATAAACCCTTAATTTCCCACACTAGTTACTATAAGTACAGGTAATTTAATCTACTTGCCAAGCATGTGATGACTGGAAAATGTCATTCGGCAATAAATGTAAACAAGTGCGCTAAGCCAGTCTTATAAGGCTTCTTAGATTTACCAAGAAATAAGGGCTTATACTTTTTTTCCCCCTTTTTTCCTTCCTTTATAACAGTAAGTATAATATCAACCATAGACTTTATTTAAGAGCTACTGGTGCCAACATGCGATCAATACCAGTTAGTGTTGGCAAAGTTAAAACTTAGAGCACTCCCTGTCAAAACATTTAGTTTTTGACAGAACTCCATTATCTGTAAGCAAACTTTGATTTGTACACTGCTAGCAATTCAACTTTGCAGTGAGTTGAGCTGACCTTAAAATGACTGAAAAATCAAATTTAATATGACTTTACTGCCTTATTTTATGTTCCCAGAAAGCTAAAGCCCTGCATAGCCTGGATCATCTTGTGCTCCAGTAGATGACCCTTCTCTCAAAAGTCCTTGCTGATTCTTATTTCTGTTTTAATTATTTTTAAATTGAAATACTACATAAACATAAGCCATATACATAAAACACTACACAACACATACATAGACCAAGGTAGATAATGGAAATGAAGGGAAAAAAAGACAAATCATTTTCAACAGTTACATTTCTTTGACCTTCATATCAACATAGTGTTGCATCTGCAAATATATAGAAATCTTGCTTTTATAATAAATATTTCTCTTTAAACATGTCAAAACTGTGCAGTTTTCCTTCTTTCATTATATTGTATAGAAATCCGAATGCACACAATAAAATCACAACTCAAGGATTTGATAATATAAATGTCTCCTCTAGTTTATGTTCTTTTATAACAGTTTTATATACCTTAAGAGTCAATTTCACCTAATATTTATATAACCTTGTTATCTGATACAATTGGCTGTATGGGAATGGGAGGTATTTTCTTTTTAGTGTTTTTCCATGTGTATTTTATGATGGGCTACATAAGTACAATAGCACTCATCTGTGCTGCAAAACAATAATCTCTAAAAGAAGTTAGTCCCAATCTCCCCATTGCAAAGTTTTGAGATGAACTGTAGGTCTTGTAGGACCTTGCCCCTCTAGCAAATAACTTTCTATAGAAGATGGGGATAAAACAGTAACCAACAGAAGCTGTCTTTATCCCTTTGTTTAATAGTATTTGATATTTGTCACACCTGCAATTATTATCAAGCTAGTATTAGGAACAGCTTAAGGTAGGCAGAATAATTCCCTCTATTGGAGTAATAGCTATTTTCAGTTGTTTTGCTAACCTCGCTCTCTTTTTCGCGGGCTTTTGTGATCGCTGTCAATCAAATGCCAACATTTCAGTGAGGAGCTAGCTGCTAGCACCTAGCCTGACAGATATTTTTATTCCACAAAAAGTTAGACATGGAGGAACTTACCTCAACTGTGAAAAGTGAGTAACTGACTCTTTCTCTTGACCCACCTATTTATTTATTAAAGTGTTTTTTCGAAACCATATTGGGTACCAACTGGAGCTGGAGCTTAGTTGTTAATTTAGCTTCCAACCTAGCTAATTCACAAATTGTTAAGTTGCATCTATTATCTGGACGCCCAATAGCTAATAACAGTTTTGTGCCTCTGGTATATTAGCTAAATGTTACTCAGGCCATGGAAGTAATAGTTATTTTTCTAAAAGATAAAGGGAACTAAACAGGCAAAGTCTGAAAATCCCAAAAGTTGTATTATTAAAACTTACTGCTGTTGGGACTATAGCAAGAAAACGTTAGCCAGCAGGCTGCCATCTACATTTGTAAGTACAAATCTACACCTGGGTAACAATTTGAAACTTTTAAAGCAGTTTTTAATGGAGAGTACATTCTCTTTATTCAATGGGTAAAAAGGGTACTTGAAGACCTTATGTGTATTTCAAACAGGGTCTTAGAATTTTTAAAGAAACTGCTTTGTTATAGACTTTTTATACATTTTGTGCAGCCTGATAATACAGATGATTAGAGGCATAAAACTGGGGTTCATGTTATCCACTAAACTGCTCGTGTTATCTTGGTCACCAGCCACAGTGAATTATCGTTATATTTTACATTATTATAACAAGCTAGCCCCCTAACTTGCTAATATGTAAATGAATACTTTTTTAAAATGGCAACTAATTAACCTAATTTGGGATGTATGACTCATACTTCATTTTAGATTATATTCTACCTTAAAAGATGAACAATCATTAATAATTGTCTTAATATTTCAGTGCTAATAGCCTAACATTAAGACACAAGAGAATATCTGAATTATTTTTGAAATGAGAAAGGACATTAATGTAGTCAAACTGGATTTTAAGACAGATTTTTAACTTAAACAAAAGAATAAGAAAGTGGGGTGCTCTCCATGTCCCACACTTTATTGTCTTGCACAAACAGTATCTGGTTTTCTTTATAGTGTAGAAAATTCGGATATTCTTATTGCATGAAAAATCAGATGTCACTTTTCACTTCAGAAGACAACATGTCCACTGTTACCCTGTTTGTGTCCTGTCAACGTCTGTTTTTGTTGACTTTTTTTTAATACACAGGTCTTACTGAGCTCCTGCTGCAAAAGCAGCTAACAGATTATGATGAAGTGATAGAGAAGCTCTTCTCTGAAGTCCCTGGACTTGAGGCTTTGCCCAAAATACCAGATCCGCAGGTAGACAAAAACATGCCAACTTGTTTAACTATACGCCACAAGTCAGTAGTGATGTAAAGTTATAGTATAACTATAAAAACCCCCAAAAAATAAAATAAAATGAAGAATTAACAAATACTTATTGAATAATTTTTTTTACACCGCTAATATTCTTGTTGCTGAATTAATCTAACCTACTACAAGTTATATGACTGTTGCAATAGTTGCATGAAGTTTAAAGACTTTAATTTAATGTAATATTGTTAATACTCATATACAAGAAGCTGGCATAATTTTTTTTGTTGTCGTGTTTACAGCTGGAGGAGTGTGCCATCAAGCTGTGGAACTGGGGAGTTACTAAGAATGTGGGTGTCACAATAAGTACAATTCAAAAAGCCCAAGGTAAATTTGTATTTGTATTGTTCCACCCCTTATTTTTCGTATTTTGCTAGGAAAATAGGAAATATATACAGAAATGCATTTAAACATACAAATGTGCATGGAAATATATAAGACAAAAACTCAGTCTGTACTATTCTAACAAGTTTCAAAGTTAATATTTGGTATGAGCACCTTTATTGTTCAACCCATCCTAAATTTTAAAGGTTTTTGTAATTTCTTTAAGTAGTCTTCAGGAATAGTTCTCCAGGCTTGTTGAAGGAGATTCAAAGCTCTTCTTTGGAAGTTGGCTGCCTTTTTTCAGTTCTCTGTCAAGATGATCCCACTTTGATCCCATTTTGACTTTAATAATATTGAGGTCTGGACTCTGAGGAGGCCAGTCCAAGACTGATTGTGTTCCACTGTGCATTTTTCTATGCTTTATTACAGTGGTAGTATTTTGGGATCTTCTCTCCTCACATTCAAATACTCTCACTATGCTTACAGTGCGTCATGTTGCATGCAGTCTGTTGTACTGCTGTGAGCCTGAGAACCCAACAGAGGGCACCATTCGCAAGCAGATTCTGGTAAGCAGTACTGAAGGCAGCCTCTGTGAGTGCCCAATGTTTCAGGAGGACAAGGCATGTTTGTCAGTGTCTAATCTTTACAGATGGCCAGCAAAACAGGGAGAACCTGGCTGGACTGCAAAAATCCCCAGATGGCAGATAAATACTTAAGCCTTGCTGTCAAGGTGAAGAAGAAAATAACACTCATACTGATAGTCTCTTAATTCTGTGTAGGTTTTGAAGCAAACACAAATACCATGTTTTTAGAAATGACTCAGAATCTAATATCTCCAGAGCCTTGAAATCCTCTACAGCCAACTGATGTCCAGAGGCAATGGCACAGCTGACATCAGTTCATCCAAGGAGGATGTGGAGAAGGATCTACTTCGAATTCTCTCATACCAAGCAGAATCGGTGAGCTGTGGCGCATGTGATGTTCGACACCTTCGATGTGAATATTTGTTCTTGTGATATTTGGCAGCTTAGGAAGTGCCATTCTGACAGACTTGCAGTGTGAAGTGTGAGACAGCTAAAATGTGAACTGAGAAACAATGAGAGGGGTAAATTTCTGACAGCTAATAGGGAGTATTATATTGTTTGCTGACATTTAATTATAAGTTCAGATCTGTTCTCCTTTACAGGCCATAACTCAAGGCAATAACAAAGAGGCTGTGGCCTACATTCAGCGTTGTAAAGACATGTTGCTGCGACTACCAAAGGATGTAAGAAAAAAGGCCATCTGTTGCTATTATAACAACACTATATATTGATTTTTCACTTTTACACTACATATTGTTATGGGATGTGTGGGGGATGTTAACTGTGATTATACTTTCTCAATACAGACTGCGTACCTCTCCCTAATGTGCTACAACTTTGGAATAGATGCTTACAATGTGAGGAAGTATGAAGACACTGCTTTTTGGTTGAGGTAATATTCTAATGTTCATTTTCCCAAGAAAAATGTTGATAAAGGTTGCAATCGAAGAGAAATGTTTCCGTTTCAGTCAAAGCTATGATATCGGGAAAATGAATATGAAATATGGCCCTGGATCTGAAGTTTTGGTAAGACAGTACAATATAAACTTTCATACAAACATGACTGTCATTTAGAATTACAATTGTAATAAAAGTGATGTTAATTTCCCTACAATAGGCCAAGGCTTTGCGGCTCCTCGCCAATGTTTATTTGGAGTGGGACTGTGAGAAGTTTGCAGAGAAGGCGGTCAACGCTGTTAGCTTAGCAAACAAGGTAAAACATTAGGAATCATTTTTAGATTGTTATTTATATAAGCAGAGGAATCTTCAGCTTTTCAGCTAATTGTGTAATTTGACAGGAATGCGTGAGCACATATGGACTGTACTTAAAGATCAAAATACTCCTGAGATGTGAGTCATCAGACAGTGACTTCAGAGCAGGTTAGTTGATACCACAACCAGAACATATTGAGTTATTTAGACAGAATTTGATTGGTGCTGCAGTGGGTTGTTAGTCTCCAAAGTGATAAAACTGTGGGTTAGGTGTTCTCTTAGAGCTGTTCTGACTACAGTAGCAATAGATACTTATACCGAGAGCCTTGGAAAGAGTTAATATGTCTCTGTAGATGACTTCAGCAGAGTTACAAATGCACATTAAAAAGCATTTTTAAAAATTCATTTTCAGGACTTAATGAGATGCTGGAATCAGAAGTTTCTCTTGAGCTGTGCCTAAGCACAGTGAAACTATTAATCTCTGAAAAGAGGTAAAAATCTTTGTTTGTATGGTAATAATTCCCATTAGTTTTTTGTAGAAATATATAATACAGAAAGAAGCATCTTTTTTTTAAGTCTCAGGCATATTTTATCGATCTGAATATGTCTGTTATTTTTCTAGAGAAGTGCTGGCTTTTGAGTATTTGAAAAGTGTGTGTCAGCACTTTGAGACATCCCCTGACCTGGGAACTGCTCTTGTCTTGCACATTGAGCTGCTGCTGCAGAGAGGCAAAGAGCTGCTGGGCAAACAGAAGATTGAGGATGTTATCACTGGTACTTTATTTTTGCTATCAGTACTATAATAAATCTAAATTAAGACAGAAAAAAACTAAATTGCATGACAAATACTATATATTTATCACTGCGTATAGTATTAAAAAGAATGAATAATACTTTAAATGTGCTACTGTATTAGTATGATCATTTTTTTACACCCACATAGGCCACTGTACAGGCAAACAGCTGACCACACAGGCTCTTACAAGTCTCCATGTCTTGCTGTGGGATAAAGCATCCAAGTACTTTGAGGTACACATCTATTCACAATGCATTTTAGAGTCCATACAGACATGCATACTTATAAGCATGTTCACAATCTGCAGTGTTGCTTCACAACAGGCAGGTGGCCACAAAAAGGTCCACCTAACCCTTGTTAGGTATTGTTTGATGTTTCCTTATAAAACAGCATGTGTATGTTAGAAGTTTTCCTATAGTGTTAGTTCTTGTTTTCTGAATTTCCACCATAAGTAAGTAGTTTATTTAGCATAGGTTCAGTGTAGAGCTTTACTTTTCACATGGACAAAAGTTTAACTTTGTGTTTCCAGGCTGGAAGCTATTCTGAGGCTCTTCAGTGGTATAACTACTCCTTAAGTCTCTTCAAGGGAGGTCAAATGGAGCCCAACTTAGCCAAACTGCAAAGAAACAGAGCTTCCTGCTTCCTAAAACTTAAGCAACTGGAAAAGGTAAGAGAACTTGAGGCTGCTGTAGTTGGTAATTTTAAGAACACCAGTATTTATATGTCACTAGTGACAACTGAAGGTGTCCCTGGCATATTTTTTTTTACAGTTACTGCATGCAAATATGTTTTCATCTGTATTAAAAATCTTAATTTTTGTAAGGCCAAAGAAGCAATTAAGGAAGCACAGAGATGTGATCCAGACAACATTTTTACTCAGTTTAGCGTATACAAGGTGGCTGTGCAGGAGAATGAGGCAGAGAAAGGTACCTAAAAAAGATTACTTACTGGGACTGGGGCGCTTTATAAATCATACTAGTGTTGCCATAATAACAGCAATATTTTCACCATATTATTTTTGATGATGTGGCTGATTTATTTATTTTTTGCTAGCCTCAGGTGCATTGCATGCAATGGGACGTCTGTCCAAGAATCCTGTAGCCTGTGAGGACAGACTGCTGGTGTCGGAGGATGCTGCTTCCAATCTCCTGAGTCTGGCTGCTCAGATTGCTCTGGAGGTAGAATTTATCACAGGACTCATTGCTCGTTTCTGTACACCAGTCCTTCAGTTTAGGTCTGATTGAGTTATTATTACATTTCCCAGTCTTATGATGATATAGCGCCTCATCAGTGCTATTTGCAGCTTGGACAGAAACTGGCAGTTTTTGTGAGTGGGAAGTTGATGAGGGATTATGTCCTTGTCACTGAACTCATACTGGTTCCTGTGCAGAAGGGGCTGAGAAGAATAGCATCACTGAGAAGATGATCGAGCATGTTAAACCTTTCCAGGAAAATGTCAAAGCCAGCTGGGATCAAAGATAAAGCTTAAATATTTTTCAACTCTTGTTCGTGTAGACTTATACTGCAGTCCTTCCTCAATAGTTACATACTTTATACTATTATACAAAAAGAGGTGTGACTGTAACTTTCCCCAGCTATTATAATCAATAGTTTCAGTTATTAAATCAGCTTGAATTTTCTTTAGTGTACTATGTGATTCTGATGCGCATCGATAAGTATTGGTGGTGGGTGGCATTAATGGTGATGAGAAAGTTTCTAACTCTGTGACAGAATGGACAACAGGAAACCGCCATGAAAGCACTGGAGATTTTGTGTGAACACTCCAAAGATCAAGCACAGGTTCTGGTTGCTCTGAGGTATGTGAAAACTTAAGGATAACCTAAAAAAAAGAAGCAACATTTTAACCTCACTTTTATTAAAATAGTATCTAACATGAATGATATGATGTGACAGTATGTAGCCAAAAACAGATTGAGTACAGAGCCTTACACATAAGGCTGTTATTAAATAAACATACAGTTACATACACTCATCATGAGCACAAAGAACATTTTAATTTGGTACTTTAATAATTTGAAACCCCGAGTTAATATTCATGGTAACTTAAAAAAATTAAAAATAAAGCTTCCACTTGTGAATAATTGCGTTTTTTTTTATTATGTGCTTGCATTCTTATTGTCTTGATTTGGATGCAGTCTTAGATACGTATACATTTGATGCTAATATCTAACTTTGCTAATGGATATCATGTTTGGTTTTTGAGATCTGAAAATAATGACTCATGTTTAAATCTCGAATTGGGTCATGATGGTACTGCGTCACACATTTAGTAGAGGTGGCTCAGAGATTGTATTTAGTCTCATAGTTTTCCACACACCTCTATGATCCACTGACCTATATTCCCTCACATTTTCACTGAAAGTATGTCTCTGTATAATACAGTTAGTAGGTGAAAGAAAGGAGGTCAACGCCAATTTCTTCATTCATCTTTTTAGGTGTTTGGTTCGGCTTGTTCTCTCCACAATAGAAAAATTGAGTGATGAAATAAGGTGAGGCGAGAAAGAGGGAAAATACCAAATGTTTTCATATTTCAAATTGATGCTGATTTAACTGAAAAAAACAACAACAGATCTACATTTCCTACATTCATTCCATGCAGTGATGTAAGTCTGGATGTCTTGCTGCCGCATCTAAAAAAGGGTAAGTGCAAATCCATGAGGGTTTAATTGCATTGTGAGTGGAAGTGTCTCAACTACAGTGTCATGTGTTGTGCGTCATAACCCTCGGATGTTTTCTTTGCCGTCACTTCAGCTCTGCAGACAATTTCACACCCCTCTCACATGACTGTCGATCAACGCACAGAGGAAGCTAACTGGTTCAGAAAGATTGGTGCTAAGATTCTTTCTCTTCTTTTCACTTCAATCTAACGTGGTGTGCTATGACTTAAAATCTTGCAGCACCTTCATTTTGTCTGTGTGCTCATGTGTGTCCTTGTTACAGCTTGGAACTTGGCTTTGCAGTGCGAGAGCAGCCCTGACAAAATGAGAGATTTCTTTGTGCTCTCTTACCAGGCAAGTGTCCTTTTTAGCTTTGTCAGGTGAATTAATCAATGTCTGCTCTATGTGGGTGTAGATCAAAAGCACCTGAACAGGAATAAACATTGCTTTATAAATAGAAACGTATCAGTTTACACTCACAATAATATGTGTTCCTTAACCTTAGCTTTAATGGAATACATACCATTACATTTGGATCTATAAAGTTTGATTTCTGCCAGCGATTTTCTCATGTCTGATTTACATACATGCCCTGATGCCTAAAAGTACCCCATATACAATTATTTTGATCTTATTTATAAGAAATTCAACTTACTAGTGGGCGATCGTGACTCAAGAATTGGGAGTTCGCCTTGTAATCGGAAGGTTGCCTGTTCGAACCCCGGCTTGGACAGTCTCGGTCGTTGTGTCTTTGGGCAAGACACTTCACCCGTTGCCTACTGGTGGTGGTCAGAGGGCCCGGTGGCGCCAGTGTCTGGCAGCCTCGCCTCTGTCAGTGCGCCCCAGGGTGGCTGTGGCTACAATGTAGCTTGCTATCACCAATGTGTGGATGACTGGTTGTATAAAGTGCTTTGGGGTCCTTAGGGACTAGAAAAGCGCTATACTTACTTTGACTTTTGGTTAAACGTAGTCAGAATTTAAATACAGTATTTTAGAAATACTTTCCTACATTATATGTACAAAACTATGGACCCACCTACACATTACACTTACATGAGCTTTATGACCACTGATCCCCTCTTTGCACCTATAGCAACTTCCACGCTTCTGGGAATGTTTTTTGCAAATGTTGGAGTGTGTCTGTTGGAGTTTCTGCCCATTTAACTATGACTGATGCTGGACATCACAGTCTCCATTTTACTTCAGTCCTAAAGGTGTTTGATGATGGCAGCGAAGACCTACCACACCAAAAATTATCCAGCCACACGTTAATGGACCTGGCTTTGTTCTTTTGGGAATAGTTATGCTGGAAGAGAAAAGGGTCTTTTCCAACCTCTTCCCATAGATTTGGAAGTGCAGAATTGTCAAAAATGTCTTTGTAAGCAGAAGCATTAAGATTTCCCTTCACTACTGCTAGGAGGTCCAGGCAAACCTCAAAAAACAACCCCATAGCTTTATTGAATTCAGTGAATAAGAGGTGTAGCCTAATACTTTTGTCCATGTAGCGTATCATGTGTTAGTTCCTTTGTCATACGTGCTTAAATGTCTATTCACTGTGTCTAAATGTCTATTCTGACAGTGGCTGTGCTGTGTTCTTATTCAAACTGTAAAAACTGAGTCTTTGCTGCCTACAAACGAAATGAACTACAAAAATATAAGCCCACAGATTATGATGTTACTGGAAGATTTTTAAAAGTTCTATTTGTCTATCTGTACTTTGTGCCTACCTGTCAGTCTCAAACTCTTGAAAAAGAGAACTTGATCTCAATGACAGAGCTTTTTTAAATAAAAGAATAAATAAATATTAAGGCTACATGTGTGTTTCTACATGAACCTATAGTTCTCCCAGCTGTGCCCACCTGATCGCACTCTCCTCATGGGCCAGAGGACATGTCTGCTAATGGCTGCTGCTGCTTCTTTGGAGCTCGGCAGGAAGTCTTCTCACCCTACCCAGGTGTGCCACCCACTGCCCATCTCCTACATTTAGCACACTCTCACTCCACATGGATGGAAATTTACCAAGACCAGTGGAGAGGAGAGGTGACTAACAACATCATTGGTGCTAGCGTAGGTGTTTAATTTGAATCCCCCTGCCTTTGAAAAGGAACTAAACACTAGGTGGCGATGATTAATCCAGAATGCTTTGCATGTTTGTCTGGTTCCAGGAGTTCACTCAGACTCTGGAGCACATTCAGATCTGTTCAGAGGTGTGGAAAACCCTGAAAGCATCAGGTGCATTTAGCAGCTACACTATTCAAACTAAAAGCAATTTTTATTTGCAAAGTGTAAACTATTTAAAACACAGAAAAGGAGAGTTAAACACAGTTATATGTTATTAAAAAGCTGACATAATTTTTTAAGTCTACTTCATGAAATTGAGCTATAAAAATGTATTCTCAATTTACAGGAAGCTTTCCAATGGACCCGACAGACTCTCTACTACTGCTGTATGAGTTTGAAGCCCGTGCTAAACTGAATGATCCCATAGTTGAGGCAATACTGGAGTCTGTGTTGGAGCTTGAAAGTGTTGAACCCAAAATGTTAGAGACCATGGCAGGTTAAAAAGACCCTCTATTATTAATCATGTCTGTGCTGAAATACCTAAAGAAACACATCAGTGTTTTCAGTATTCACTCTATGCTCTAATTGTCTTTCCTTTATGTAGCCTTGGCAATGGAGCCTCCAGCCTATTTCCCTCTGCTGTGCAAGAAGGCCTTGAGGGTTGCTCTCTTTCTGCACAAGAAACAACCACAGGCTGACCTGGCGCACTGCAGGCACAACCATCACTACCTTTAGCATTTCATTAATGAGCATTTTTTTTCTTTTTAGATTTTTAATGAATAGGTTATTGACTATTTTTCTGTGTCCTCATCTTAGCAAGTGTGTTCACAGCCTTATCAAGCTGTCCCTCCCAAGTGGCGTGTCAGAGGTGGAGGCCCATGTGCTCGAGGAGGTGTGGAACTACTACGAGGAGGCCCTGTCTATCATTGCAGCCGCAGTGAGTCAGCACCAATCACACACCGACATCCCTCGGCTCCCACCTCCTGTTCCCTCCAACAGGAATGCTCCTGCTATATAATTCACCCCCTCTTTTCCACTCCATGCTTGCCTGCTGTTCTAGAAGCCTCTTTTTATCAATGGGCTATCAGCCGCACTCCAATTAGCAGATGCTTCCATTCACCACCCCTTCCTGCCAATTTGAATGTTAATGCGCTGTACAAGTTGTCACACTGCCGGTGAGCTACAGCTCTGAAAGAGACATGAAATTATTGAGACATTATGCAGCTTTAGAGGCAGCGCACATTTCCCCTTTCATATTGAGTTATTACTTGAAAGATGTGGAATTCTTTGGATCAAAGTAAATGGACAAGATTAAAGTGTTGTGAAATATGAATGAACCGTCTCCACTGAGTTTGTTTCATGCTCTGTTTTTATGACTTACAAGCATAAGTAAATGTTAATATACAAATGGACAGGATTTGATGAAAGTTTACTTGGCATTTGCTGCCTCAACCCACTGAAAATGATTTGTACAAGACAGTAACCCAGGTGGCCTTTTGAACATCTTCCTGCTCTTCTCCGTAGCCGGACGACTTCCCAGAGATGGAGACCTTGTGGTTGCTGACTCAGGCTTGGAACACTGGGATTTTGCTGTACAGCTTGGCTCAATACCCCGAAGCTGAGAAGTGGTGTGGCCTGGCCATGAGCTTTGTCCGCCACCTGGGATCTCTACAGGAGAGCTATGAGACACAGGTAGAGGACTGGTGGAGAGAAGGAAGGGGATGAAACACTGGGTTGATAGTAGCTTAAATCATCCTGCTGCTTTGTTAAATACAGATTTTTGGCAGAATTAAATCTACATGTCATTGTACAACTCCAGGGTTGCTCATCAAAATACACCAATTATAGTTTTGAAGTTAGCTCAAGGAACTTCACCAGAGGTGATCCTTTAAGTATTGCAGCTTTGTCAAGAGAAAAGTATGGCAATAAAACACAGTCTCATAAGGTTAAACTGGGACACAGCAATGAAAGTAACTGCTCCATTGTATAGAGGTATAAAAAGCTTAGTTATACAGCTGTTATTTATGTACCCACAGATGTCTGGTCTCTACAGCAAAATCCTGGACAGATTGGACAAAGCAAAGAAAAATGTCAACATGAAAGAATAGACAAACAGGTATAGGTCAGCTGTCGGGAGCCTGGTGCACGCCTGTTCTTCGGGGAAACCTACCTACGTTTATTCAGTTCAGTTTTCAACACCCTAACGTTCTCAATGTTATGAGAAACATTTACCAGAAATTCCAGTTTGGTATGTTCTTTTAAATTATTTTAACTGTGGTGTATTCTGGTAGACTAGTACATTCATTTCTGGTCTGATTCTTACCTGAACATTTGTTCTAAGCTCCTATCCATTTATACTTTTCCAACAGAAACTAAAAAAAAATAAATTAAATAAATCTACCACTGCAGTAGTTGTTTTTAAAGCCAATCTGTATCCCAAAGTAGAATAAAAGGCACATTAAAATCATATCTGAGTCACATATTTTATTTTCAAACAAATAAACTCTTGTCAAGTCCCAAAATAAAACCCAAACAAAAGTTGCAGGACTGTGTTCCCTCATGACTAGGACAGGGAAGACCATGAGGCCGAGTGTCCTGATAGGCTGTACTACCTGCAGTGACAGGAAGGAAACTACTGTACAATCAAAGGGTTCATGTTTGCAAGCACTTACTGCACAGATGTGCTATAACATAAACATATCATCACCCAAAAGTACAAACAAGAACCCTGTCCCCCCACCCAAAAAAATAAAAGTATATATGTCGTCATTTCTCTCATCAGAACAAAGACCCTCGTCAATTATACACACACAGAGGCATTCAGGTTCCATCTTATCACAACCTCAATGGAAAAGTGTAAAATGAAATCAAGTTCTTTGGGCTTTGACATGGCTGACTGAGGTATGAATACCACACACATTGTTAACAGTCAGCTGTATTTCAACTAAACGCCAGAGTGGACCAATTCTAAACCTCTAATAATGTACTGATCAATGCTCCTGCTTCCTGTGATATTGTGTAGGTTTCTGCCTGCATCACTTTATTTTACAATATATTGTTTTTTTTTTTAAATCTATACACCCAGACACGTTCCACAAGAAATCACATGTAGACAGGCCCTACTTGAGGGAACTGAATTCCCAACTGACTAGTTAGTGTTCCAATAGGCATTTGAAGAGAAATACCAACAATACAGCACATTTGTATGGAAATTATATCTCAAGAGTAGCTCAAACTTTACTTACCTGACATTTGTGGTCTATAAAACATGTTTGTCCCAGTTTGATTCACACATGCATGAAGCACAGGTGAGGGGGATCTGCTGGGGGCTTATTTACATCGTACAGCTACCACACCCTTTGAAACAGTCTGCAAGCAGTTTATAAATGGCTCTGTTCCCTTCGGTAATTCCCTGAACTCTGGTTTTGACACAGGTAATGACAGCTGGTTTAGCAGTGGTGCCTGGCAGGTGGGCACACCTGTTCAGAAAATGCCTGCAGGTACAGGTGCTCTGTGGGTGGGAGAGAGCAAGGGACCCAGGGGTCTAGGTTAACACTTCTTGTTTGGGTCTGGCTCTCTGAGGAGAAAAAAGAAGTATATCCCTTTGCACTCTTCCCAAAAAAAAAAGAAAAAAAAAAAGCTGAGGAAGAAAGCAAAAGCGTTCACAGGGTCAAGGGCCACAGCACTCCTCCTTCAGACGTGCTCTCTCACATGCACACATTAACGTATAGTGCCAAGATATGCATGGAAGGATGGTGCAGGTCATTTCAATCCTGGTGACGCCACAAAGCAAACTCAAAGGTTACCAAACTGATGGCCTTGAACAAGCTCCCAGCCTTGCAGAAAAAAGACAGTACAGCCCGATTACACTGTCCACTTGGAAACAGCTTTAGCTAAGCAACAGTGCCTTTGAGTAGTTTGTTCACATTTGACAACTGTGCAATCGCCCAAACGTGGCTGTTCAGTCACGGGGAAATGGTATCTGTATGTTAAGATTCCTGAGCTGGCCAAGCTCACCCCCAGACGTGCCAAGAGCTCAACACAGTGCTTCAGCACCTGCCAACAATAGATTAAGAATTCATCGATTTATAGATGCACAAAGCGTAGGTTTTCTCAAACCCAACTTTAGTGTTTTTGGTTGGTGGACGGGGGAGGGGGATGGGGGGCAATCGAAAACAGGTTATAGTTACTCTAATATTTAGGACATCCAATACAATTATTGTCTTGTTCTACCCGTTTTAAGGCCACCATCATGGCGGCAGATACGACAGTACCGTGTGACCAATCAGAAGAGAATCCTCTGGGAAGGCAGAGAGTGTAATAGGGTGATCTGCTGCTCAACATGAGTTGGGAGGCTCTGGTTATCCAAATTGCAATCCATTGGCCAAATTCTTCTTTAATTATAAAGGAAGAGGGTTGAAATACAGGGGAGGGAAAGTGCCAACAGAGGCAATTTTTTTTCCTTCTTTTCTTAATCTATTGCACTCAAGTCAGGCCTCCTGACAGTTGGAGGTCACAAATAGGAAAGATTTTCCTCATCAATTGTGTTCAGCCTCCCTCACAGACAACAGGTAGTCACAAAACAGAATTTGTATTTGATGTAAGGCAGTTTGGTGTTTTGCAGAGAGCCCAGTTACACTTCTCTACCCCCGTCCTTTACACAGAGCAGCTAAAAACCACAAGCAAAAAAAATCCCACAAGAAAAAACAAAAAAAACAAAAACAAAACAAAAAAGGAACTAACAGCCCTCCAAATTGACAATTCTAGTGAAGTGTAAAATGTGTAGTTTTTAATATGTAGTAAAATCTCAGTAGGATTTCATCATTTATTTTGTGATTTCATAATATAAATGTAGAGATTCACAACGCACTTCTTCTTGATCTGCCTCCCAAGATGTCTTTATCAGCTGCAGCACAGACAACTGGCAGATGACCAAACAGCAAGCTGGTTTGTGATAAATAGATCAGTTTGTAGGCTCCTCTACTAATTTCCTCAGTCATTATAAACAAGAGAGATGACTCCTTGAACAGTACCATCAGCAGGGCTCGATTTATCCAGTCTTTTTTAGAAAAAAAAGAAAAAACCCTTTATTGGTCTTCAACTTCTTGTCTTGCGTGTCTTTTATAATGTGATTTGATGAACATTTACAAAGTGTTCCAACTTGGTATGATTTGTCTCTGATCCCCTGAAACTTCTTTTTGAATCCCAACTCCTCTCCAGATTTCTGCAAAACCTTCTGATCTTCAGTCAGTCCCAGTACACGAAAGGATGTATTCCTTTTCCCTTTTGTTTGCGGTTGTCAAATTCCTTTGGAATGGCATTTCCAGTCTTGAATGGATTTGTTGAGAAACTCATGCAGGGGTGTGCACAGTCACAGTAATGGTGATAAGACTTCTTTTTCATTTAGAGAGTAACATAATGATGACACTAAAACTTGATATGAAACATATCTGCAAAAAGGAGGTGAGGAGAGGGGCTATTTGGGCTTGGGTGGGGTCTCTGGGAGGCAGGAGGGGAGCTCTGTGCCGATGCAGAGAGGACGGCAGGAAGCTCAGAGTTTCTCTGAGGAGGGGATCCAGATGTAGGGCCCAGACTGCTCCTCAATGATTAGCTTGATTTTGTTGTAGATCTCCTCTAGTGAGTCACCCTGTACAATAGCTGAAGGCAAACACAAAGGGAGAGAGGTGTGTTATTTGGTTGCATCAGAACTAGAGTCCCCCCACCCCCCAAAAAGTAACCTAATCAAGAAATTCTTCTGTTGATCAATCAATTCAGTTGTTTTATGAAGCCAAAAAGCCAAATCATAAACAAACACACACCATCAGGTCATAAATAAAACTTAAAATCATGGATTGAGATTATTCACTGAGGTCATGGCTCAAGGGAGCTGGAGGGTCAATTTCCTATAGACTTACATACAACCACAGAATTCACTGACTTTAGACTTCAATGACAATAAATAACCAGATCACTGAGAAAAAAAAATCAAAACCTATATCCCAAATTGTAAGTACAAATATTTTTTGTTGGCAATGAGACTGACCTGTGAAATACTCCCCAAAGTCTTGCTCCAGTTTAACTGCCTTGTCAAAGACTTTATTGGCCTGCTCATATGTCTGCCTCTTATTCATCTCCCTGAAAGTGACAGTAGTTACGGTTAGTACGACGGACACAGACCAGCTGTGATCTTGATGACAGTATGTACAAAAGCTTCGACTTACATTAGGGCTTCAATGGATTTTGGTTTGATAAAGATGGCAATCGGATAAAGTTGTGCTTGCTGCAGTCGTTTTATGGCATTCCCAGAAACATCCAGAATGCAGTGTTTCCCCTGTAGGCAAGTAGAGAATACTTTAAAATACTCATAGTGGTGAAAATTTAACACTTTCTGATTTAACAGGCCACCCAATCTGGTAACCCAAGCTCACAGAGAAATGCTCGATGCCTACCCTCTCAGCCACAGTTCTGACAGACAAGATGCTTGTCCCATAGAGGTTCTCGTTGAACTGGCCCGCTTCAATAAACTTATTATCCTGGATATCCTTCTCCATTTGCTCTCTCGAGCCCACAAAGTGGTAGTCCTGGCCGTCAATCTCGTTCTCTCGCCTAGGACGAGTTGTATCTGCAGAAGTGAATGGAACAAGTTTATTTTTGTTGCTGCTATTTTGTTTAGCGTACTGTGTAGAGGTGTCGAGTGTTGTCAACTCACGTGGTACACACGAGCCAAACTTGTGGGGGAACTCAGAGATGAGGTCATCATTTATTCTGTCCTTCATTGGGCCCAAAATTATCACAGGTCTTGTGTAGTGGACTGAATCAAAAACAGAGAAGACAAGTGAGGATAAATGTAAAAATCTACAGCATGACAGATTGTGGAGAAGCGATTTCACTTACTTTCCTGTCGAATGACTGGCTCATAGGAAAGAATTGTGTCCTCCTGACCCTCTGTAACAACAAAAATTTAAAAAAAATGAAATTTTACATCCTGTCTGAAGGAATTACATAAAGCTGCCACAGCTGATAAAACTCCAAAATGAAATATTAGGTTGCAGATATAATTTCACACGTACATTTAAGGACATCTACCGTGTTATTCATCTATGTGGGCAGAGTAAAAGAAACCAGAGAGACCATGAGAAATTAAAGGTGACTCACTCGAACTACTTTCGCTGTCACTTGTGTTGGATGTCAGGCATTCTGCAAAAGCAAGAGAGTTTCAGATCATTTTACAAAACCATAACCACAGTGGCATTCAAGTCAATTCTCTTCCTATGGGTGAAATTTAGTTTCACCTGCCTCAAAGGACAAAAAGGGGAAAAAGAAAAGCACTCTGTTTCTCAGCAACTAGGCCACATAAGAAAAAGGGGAATAACGAAAGCAGAAGTTTGGTTTGGTGCAGCAGCCATGCTCTGGCAGTATTTGGGAAGTGGTTTTAGGTGCAAGCAATAGGAAATTAAGTGCTTCCTG